ATATATTTAGATGATATATTGGCTCTTAATAATGACGATTTCAGTATGTACACTAAAGAGATTTATCCTGCCGAACTGACTTTAAATAAAGCTAATACTAACAATGAACACTGACCTTTCCTGGATCTTGATATCTTTATCTTTAATGGGAAGCTTAATACCCGGGCAACATTTATGATAAAAGAGATGATTTTTCATTTCCTATTGTTAATAATCAATTTTTAGATGGTGACGTTCCCTTGTCGCCATCTTTTGGTGTTTATATATCTCAACTTGTTCGATTTGCTCGTGTATGTAACAACGTATTTGATTTCAACGAAAGAAATCTCTGTATTACTGAAAAATTATTACATCAGGGTTTTCGATATCACAAACTAGTCAAAACATTTACTAAATTTTATCATCGGTACAAGGACATCATTCGTAAATATAAATCAACATGCAGACATCTTATACATTCAGGTATTTCACATCCAATATTTTATGGTAATATTCTTTACAAAGAACAAAAATGTCGGCATTCACCTCAAAAGCTAACCAAACCTTTAAACAGACTTATTCGGAAAGGATATAGTTACGATACTGTTGTCAAGTCATTAAGGATTGCATATTTTGGTATTAATATTGATTCACTCATAGGGTCTTTGCATCGGAAATAAACACATTTATTCTAAAACAAGTTGTTTGCATGATACGGGTTATGTTCTTCTCATATATATTTTATGATGGTATGATACTAAACCCCTAACAAGAAGGATTGTACTTGATTTTCATATGATGAAGACACAATCTGTCAATCAGTTTAATTGAGGTCTGGAGCTGGCATGTCAGTAACTGCTAGTAGTCCTTTGTTCACTTACATATCATTGTCATTTTGCTTAGTTTCTTTTGTTACCTATTCTGACATCGGACTCGGACTTCTTTTAAACTGAGTTTTACTGTGCGTATTGCTATATGTTTCTTTATTCTACATTGGCTAGAGCTATAGGGGAGGGTTGACATCTCACAAAACATGTTTAGCCCCGCCGCATTTTTGCACCTGTCCCAAGTGAGGAGCCTCTGGCCTTTGTTAGTCTTGTATGTTTTTTTAATTTTAGTTCATTTATATGTTTTGGAGTTTAGTGTGACGTCCATTTCCACTGAACTAGTACACAATTTTATTTAGGGGCCAGCTGAGGACCAACTCCGGGTGCGGGATTTTCTCGCTGCGTTGAAGACCCATTGGTGGCCTTCGGCTGTTGTCTGCTCTTTGGTCAGGTTGTTGTCTCTTTGACATATTCCCCATTTCCATTCTCAATTTCATTAGCATTTATGATGAAGTTCTACTTTATAAATCCTTTGGTGACAAAATATCATTTTGAATATGCAGTTCATAGTGGAATGGTAATTGGGAGATCTCAAATGTAGCAACGTAAGCAAGCTAACATCTATATCATTTGGTCTATGATGTAAAGTTGTCTCATTGGAAATCATACCACATCTCTTATTTCATACAAGAAGTTTAAAGTCTAACGAATACGTTCTAGGAGACTGAAATATGTTGCTGTTATAGTTAAAATCTTACTTTTGTTGTAAGCATGTGATGTTTTAATTTGATAGATTTAATACTTGCCATACTAAATATACTTATTAACTTTCCAATTCAAGGGACCAATGAATCTTAACTAAAACAAAACTACAAATAAGCAGTAAAACAAATACTTGTCCATCCTACATTAGTCACGTGTTATCTATATGTCTTTGGTTTTGTCTGTAGTTAATTGGCCAGTTGCTGTTTTATTGTATATCCCACATTTCCATTTATGCACACAAAGAAATAACAAAATTACCCCTTTTAATTTACATAAACACTTGTATACGGTTGTTGTCTCTTTGACACATTCCCCATTTCCATTCTCAATTTTATTGTTGTAAAAACTCCTTACTGCGAATACTCTCACGCTTTTCCCGACACCTATGTGAGCAATAGGGCCATCCCTCAAAAGGCACTTTTGGTAATCGTCTGTGAGTCTTTTTGTCTCCCCACCTTGTGAAAAGGTGTGTTTTTTATCAGGTGTACCTGTACATCATGTCCAACTCAAAACACGAAAAACACACCCATCCACGAACACCAAAGTGCAAATTAATATGAATCTAAAATCAAAATGAATTTAAGATCTCGTTGGATTTTTGTCCCCCGCGCCACGCATTGTTGGGGACATAGAAATATCGGGCGTCCGTCCTTCCGTCCGTCCGTTTGTCCGTCCGATCTCGTAAGCTCTCTCACGTGTACAATTCTTGCCAGATTTTTATAAAACTTATAAATGAGGTTTATATCAGCATCGTCGCTAACAAGTTTAAAAATTAGTTACGATCAATTAATCTTTAAAGAGTTATGCCCCTAGGAAATATTAATTATATCGGAAATTGCATTGCATTTGCTCTCAAGCCTACATTTCTCTATCAACGATATTGATAAAAAAAAAATCGAAGAACAATTTTTTTTAAGGGGGCATTGGAACTTTTGATCAGTTTGTTTTTGCCGTTTGAATAAAACAGGTTAATGGAAATATCTTTTTCAACTTGTTTGCGTTCGAAGCGCTTTTCTGGTTTTACCTACACAGAAGCTCCGATCATTCATTTATTGTGGGCCGCACGTTTTTAATGAATCGTTTGATTGTAAATTTCAAGAACATAATTTATTTCAGAATGGAATTGAAAGAAAAAAATGTAACGGGATCTGAATGATTTAATTTTATTTCGTCCGAACCGAGTGCACATTTAGTTTTGACATCTCATATGTTTAAGCGTTTGTTAACTTTCTCTTTGTTCCGATGTGACGGTCCTGTTTAGACTGTGCTTATAAGATAACAATGCCATTAGTTTATTTTAAACAAGCTTCTGAAACCATATCGGATTTTTTCTGTACAGTCCAATAAATTTCAAAGACTGTTTACACTTGAAACATAGGGAAAGTTGTTTGGCCAAATAGCCGAGTTCAACTACTCTTCTTTTTTCATTCCATGGCAACAAACCATTTTCTGTCTGAGTTTATACGTCTGCTTGTACGGTGCATTCGTTCGCTAGTTTCTATCGGAATCCTTTTCCAAATAAATTTCCTTTTTGTTTTTTACTAGCGACGTTTTTCGGTGACTATTTAAAAACGAATGGGCTTCTTAGCGGAAATGCATTTTATCGGGAAACGGCGTGTATCAATAGTAAGAATGTATTGCAAAAAAAAAAAACCCAACACGGAATTAAAAACCCAGTCTGTTATGCATAAGAACACATATAGATAAATCGTACAAATGCTTAATTATCAATAGAAAAAGAACATTTCAAAAGTATATATTTAAATGTAAAGAATGAGAAGAAGAAGAAGAAGAAGAAGAAAGGGAGGAAAACGACGAAGCAATCAATGCCAAATAGCGTATTGCGTCAAATCCCTCGACACTGCATCTATGCAAGGTTACTATTAAAATGTTTATTAGGTTAATTTATTATTTAAATTTCACATAAGTGTGATTTTTTATTATTTCTCAATAGAGCAAATCTGACATGGGGTAAAATTGTTCAATTGGTCAAGATCTATCAGCTCTGAAATTTTCAGACGAATCGAACAACCTATTGTTGGGTTGCTGCCACCGAATTGGTAGTTTTAACAAAATTTTGCATTTTTTTTTTTATTGTTTTGAATATTATTATAGATATATATAAACTGTAAGCAGCAATAATGTTCAGCAAAGTAAGATCTACAAAAAAGTTAATATGACCGTAACTGTCAATTGACTCCTTAAGGAGTTATTGCCCTTTAAAGACAATTTTACACAATTTGTTCATCAAGTTTGCTAACATTTAAAAATCTTCTCCTCTGAAACTCCTTGGCCAATTACCTTCAAACTTTAACTAAATGTTCCTTAGGGTATCTTGTTTATAAATTGTATCCGAAGTTTGTATCCATCGACAAATATGGCCGCCATTGCTAAAAATAGAACATAAGGGTCAAATGCAGTTTTTGGCTTATATCTCAAAAACTAAATCTTTTAGAGCAAATGTGACATGGGGTTTAATTGTTAAATTGGTCAAGATCTATCGGCCCTGAAATTATCAGACGAATCGAACAACCCATTGTTGGGTTGCTGCCACCAAATTGGTAGTTTTAACAAAATTTTGCAGTTTTTTGTAATTATTTTGAATACTATTATAGATATACATGTATATAAACTGTAAGCAGCAATAATGTTCAGCAAAGTAAGATCTACAAAAAAGTTAATATGACCAAAATGGTCAATTGACCCCTTAAGGAGTTATTGCCCTTTAAAGACAATTTTACACAATTTGTTCATCAAGTTTGCTAACACTTAAAAATCTTCTCTGAAATACAGGTGAGCGATTCAGGCTCTTGAGAGCCTCTTGCTTTTCTTTCGTGTGAATTGCATCTTTTAAGTACAGGTTTGTTTTGTGATTGTATATGATACGATTAGAAAGCGACGCTAAAATGAAGGTATACTTAATATATAGTCATGTATATTTGCAAATTTGAAATAAAGAAACATTTATCTTTCAACTATTGAGGCAAATTCTTTGTTTAATTTGTTCTAAGTTATTATAAAACATCAGATTTTACGTTTGTCGTAGTTTTCTATGTAGTGTTTAGTATACTGTTGTTTGTCTTTTTGTCCTTTTCTTTTTTGCCATGGCGTTGCCAGTTTATTTTCGACTTTTGGGTTTGAATGTCCCTTAGGTATCTTTTTTTTAACATGTCACACGACGGTAGAATATCGTCTCATGGTGATACTACTTCGTACCTATTATCATAATAATATCAAAAGCCAACACAAAAATTTGGCCCGCACAATGTTATTGGTTGTACTATTTATACCGATCATTTGGTGTTTACAAACGTTTTGTGTATTTGTCGTCCTAAACTACTTGTGATCTCAAGTTAAACTAGTGAAGGTTATTCCCAAAACATATCATGTACCTTCGTTTTTCTCACATTTATAATAATAATAAGCAAACAAAAATAGATAAAATTTATGTAAAAATTTTTTTTTTTATAAAACTATATAATAAAGCAAAGTATATATCTAAATGATATAGTTCTGCCATCAGCTTACTTACTGTATTTTTTTAACCAGAACTTTGAGTCTATAATATATTCTAAGTAGGTGAAGGCGTGCCTATGCTTCGCAACAAGCAGGAGCAGGAGGATTTTGTAAACTACTGTTCTGCCCTGGTAAGAACAGAACAAACAATAACAATGCCCAAGACATGACGAAAATGAACATGCCACCAAACACAACACAGGCAATAATTACGTACAAAAAAAGTGAAAATAACAAAATTTTCGTATGGCTCTGTCATTCACAAAAGTAAGCCAGTATAGTAAGAAAAATCCTGCTTTCCTCCCAAAAATCAAATGGTTGTCCTCCTATCTGTTGTTGGTTAACTACACATAAAAGATACAAACTGTGTATTCCGGAATGAGGAATACGGTAAATAAGATATAACATAGCTATGCACATTAGACAAAAAAAATATTACTAAGGGAATCTGTTCAGAACACATATGTCAATAGAGAATATTCTATATCTATTAAGAGCTTTTGTTTCTTATTTTGTCAAATGAATTACAAAAGGCGTATACTTAACTTTTCCTCTTTAAAGTCATTTAAATGTCACATTTATATAAATACAAACAATTAGAATTATTCCAAGTGAATGCATACTTGATAACAAGAATACTTCCTGAAATGAGATGTGATTGTTGATTTTATCCTGAAACAAATAAATATCACATTTATTCAAGTCCGATTTTTGAAAATCAAACCAAAATCATGTTCGCCTACAGTGTGTGTGCTGACAAAATGAAACACTGCAAATTAGAAACATGTTTAACTTTATCGAATGCAGTTCTGCATAAAGACTAGACAAATTCACTACGAGGCTGTTTGAATGAAAGTTTCCATTGAGCATGTTTCTGGACATGTACTGCGAGGGTCTTCGAATCATCTTCTGGATCAGAATCTGTTTCCACTATTTCATTCAAATGAAAACGTCCTCTCTTTATTTGAATAATAACAATATCTGCAAGAATTACCTACAGAAAAGAGTAGCTCAACTTATAATTACTATAAAATTGTAATCTTTATTGAATTTTACACTCACGTGAATCAATGCAAGTACAGACAATAATGACGATAAAAGCAGTGAAATAACAATAAACTTGTTTTTGTTGGTCATCTAATCAATCTATCATCTATAAGTTTATCGTCCTGAATATGGATGAAATATTTCTCACTGGACATTAAGCCTACAACAAGTTATCAATCACTCAGCCTTTTCTACTTGTATAAACATCTAACAAAAAGTCTGCATATTTGTAATGATAATATTGTATTACGTTTTATATAAGATTGACGTAGACTTATACTTATAGTTTGAATCCGAATCGATACATACAAGATGTGAATGAATTCAACAGAAATAGTTCTTTTAGTTAGTGTACAAAAAAAGTTCAGAAAACAGGCTTAATTTCAATTCTACGGTGGTAAAAATATAATAATGTACCTAGTTAAAAATATCAGATTTTAATTTTACTGAGTAAAAGACACATAAAAATACAATTTTACTAAGGTTTGAATATGGTTTTACTAAGGTAACAAAAATTTAGTGTCTTAAAGACTGCTGTTTGTATTTTCGTCGTTATTGTCATGATATGGCAGTTTTATTTGACTAATGGTGTTACATGGTCCCGTTGGTGTCTTCTGTCTCTTTTTATATCGTGTTAGATACTATATATACGTCTCGTATTGTAAATTTTTTTAGGAAAAGTAATGCTTTTGAAAATGTATATGTATATACTTCATTAAAACATGCATGCTTTCCATGTAAGTATTTTACATTATGTAATACGCTGTACAACATAAAACGAAGCCCTACAGGCAAAGTGAAAGAAATTCTGGAAAAGACCTGATGGCAGTCTGTAAATATTGGGCTTTAGATTTCATATATCAGTGGAAATCTAGTAAACTAGAACAAAAGAAAATTCACTCTTTTCATGATAAGAGTCGAGAAAATCAATAATAAAACAATGCCGGTGACGATACTGATCAATAGTTATTTCTAAAGAACAATTGTACATTTTAAAGAAGTTATTTATTAAACTGTAAAATTAGAAATATACATGCAAATGTGAATGCTCTTTTGATCCGACGTTGGAAAGTTCCGGGCGGAAAGAACTAACAAGCCGAAAAGTTCCGGAGGAACTTATTAACTAGTTACTTTGTTCTTCCTCTGGTTTAAAAGTTCCACCGGAACAAAGTGACTAGTTGAAAAGTTCCAACGGAACATATCAACTAGTTTGAAAGTTCCTTTTTGTCAAATTAGTCAAAACCGGAACTAACAAACTAGCCCAAAAGTTCCAACGGAACTTATCAACCAGGCAGAAAGTTCCATTTGGAGAATTGATGCAAAGTAAAAGCGCAACATATTATATTTGAACCTTTCAAAGGGAAACCAAGGTACTGATTACAAAAGTCAAAAGGAACTTATCAACTAGCCACAAAGTTCCTCTTTGGCAAATAAGTCAAAACCGGAACTAACAAACTAGCCCAAAAGTTCCAATGGAACTTATCAACCAGTCACAAAGTTCCATTTGGAGAATTGATGCAAAGAACCACATGAGGAGGAGGGTATTCTTCCCTCTCTTGAGGGTACTATGAATACTAAATTTGCATGATAATGCAACTTATTCCGTTTTATGTGAGCTATGAAATACAACTTAAATTTTGCATATTTGTCCCCAAAGAAACCCCTTTCAGTGCGTTGGGTATTCTTGTAAATTAATGATTTGCTCTTATATATACTGATACTCATTCTTCCCCCTCTTTCTACAAAAAGGACGAAATATGGTATATTTGGAACGATGTAACTAGTTGTTCTGTTCCGCCAGAACTATTCAACTAGCTACATTGTTCCGGGACTTTTCAACTAGCTACTTTTTTCCGGAACTTTTCGACTGCACTCGGAATAAAACAACTAGTTGGAAAGTTCCATCGGAACGAAATAACTAGTTGAAAAGTTCCGCCGGAACAAAGTAACTGACGGAACATAGTGGCTGTTACACAAATACATGATGTTTTATGTTCAGTATTTATCGAGATAATTGTATTGAAAGCTTGTGAAACTGAAATCTAAACAATGTTAATCTTTGCTGCATGTTGATAAAAGAAATTGGAAAAAATCATGAACATACAAAATCTAAAGATCTTTCTGGTCACCAATTTTCGGAGTGTTCCACAAAGTCCTTAGCATGTTATCATTTCCCAAAATATACTTATTTTTCACATCTAAGTTTTCCAGTACACCGGTCTGCTCTTGGCACATGAACATTCAATATAGAAATATTGTCTTTTCGTGAATATAACAATTTAAAAGTCTGTCTGTGCAGGTTAAATAATTAAAGATAAATATTTTTCATAAAGGAGGTATCTATTTTTTGTACAATTGTAAGAAAAGGTCGTCTCGATTTTGGTACATGCATTTGAGGTCATCTCGGTCTATTCACATTCAATGTTTACATCGGGATGAGGTCCGTTTGAATTTGCTTAAGTTACTTAGGCTGTGTTTGGATATACGCCAGAGGTGGCCTATGGTTATCCATAGGTACCTTTGGTTTGATATTCTATATATCAAAATATCAAACCATGGGTACCCAAAGATACCTATGGGTAACCATAGGCTACCTTTGGCGTATATCCAAACACAGCCTTAATTTCAAAAGTGTTAATCTTTGCTGCATATCAATCGATTCCTTTGGAATTTTTCCTTGACTTTCTCTGAGCTAGCTGCATATATATACGGATAATTACCATGTTCATGAGAGGTATACAGCCAGCAGAAAAATAAATTGAAGTTGGTACTCAAGGAATTTATTCGCATAGCAACAGTTTAAAGCAACTTTACTTCAAGATCCTGGCTGTGTTTGGTTATACGCCTAAGGCAGCCTATGGTTACCCATGGGTATCTTTAGGTACCAATGGTTTGATATTTTGATATATAGAATATCAAACCAAAGGTACCTATGGATAACCATAGGCCACCTCTGGCGTATATCCAAACACAGCCAGAATAGCCTGCTGTACTCGTCGTTTGATATTTAAGGAGGGAAAGGATAAAATTAAATGGAAGTTTTTTTTTTATTTCAACTTATTTCTATTTTTACTATTTACCAGAACGTTTCCCCGTGAATTTATATTTGATAGCGTACTTGCTAAAACGGGACAAACATTGAACAGATCTATAGGCTGTGTTTGGATATACGCCAGAGGTGGCCTATGGTTATCCATAGGTACCTTTGGTTTGATATTCTATAATATCAAAATATCAAACCATGGGTACCAAAAGATACCTATGGGTAACCATAGGCTGCCTTAGGCGTATATCCAAACACAGCCCTAGGCTGTGTTTGGATATACGCCTAAGGCAGCCTATGGTTACCCATAGGTATCTTTGGGTACCCATGGTTTGATATTTTGATATATAGAATATCAAACCAAAGGTACCTATGGATAACCATAGGCCACCTCTGGCGTATATCCAAACACAGCCAATGTTTTCAGTGTTTACAAGGGAGGTAATATTTTGTAGATTTCCCATATTGGTCTAACTAAATGCTAAAACTTATTGTAACATGATAAACATGTCAGTGCATACCATAATTAATGAATATATTCCTCCAGCACATCCTAATCCAAAAGACCATGAAAGCTGTGATACGTGATGAGTAGCTAGTATAATACATCCTATGAGAGTTAGTAATCCTGGAAAAGATAAAAACATTGCTATTCAAATTGGTTTGACGTGTAATAAACTCTCTGCAAATTCTGAAAGCTTGAACATTTTAGATTATCCATAACCATTCTTTTTTCATTGTTTTAGCAGAATGTGAATTCTTTTTGAAGAAGATGTTTATTATTTTATCAACAGAGCCCAAAAGGAACATAGGGCTTTATCAGACATTTTTTCAGGCAAAAACAAACAAGTACACTGTACAAACAGTTTGAACATGCATTATTGCCTATTGAATAAAAAAAAAATTAGATCCACGTTATATATGTGGGTGCGTGTTCGTCATTTAATATCGTTTTGTGACGCCTATATCTGTAAGTGTAAATTAAAACCTTGAAAGATATTAGTAGTTTATACCGTATATTTTATACCAAAGAATGCGTTAAAATTAAAGCAATTACCTACCTGAAATTGTATAAATTAAATTAAAGATACAGCCTGCAATGATTTCATGGAGCCAGTCGTAGTCAAATGGGTTCCCAGATTCCGAACCGTCACCCACCACATCTCGTACATAGAAACGCCACAGCGTGAAAACTATCAAGACAACCAGCAGGCAAGTATTGAACAAAAGTGAAACTACCTGAAACCAGAGATTCACTTCGTGATCTGAAAATAAAAGTGAAATGTATAATGTAAAAAATATCGATATACATGGACAGTTATAATGCAGTGTAATATGGAAAATAAGGAGATGGTCGGCCATTTGGTTCTCTTCTTCACGACTTATTCCTTTATTTGTATGAGGCAGACTTCATAAAAGACTCTCTTAAGAGAATGCAATCCTCAATAAAGATGTCATTTTACCTAAGAATTCAGAGTTTGGTGACTATAAAGATAAGGAAATGTGGTATGATTGCCAACGAGACAACAATTCACCACATTCCTAATGACGTTGATGTAAGCAACTATATATGTCACCGTACGCCCTTCAACAATATGAAAAACACAACCGGTCGGTTATCTATATAAAAGACCCTGACATGAATCCAATCGAGATAACCAACGGCCTGATTTGTGACAAAACATTAAACTAAAAACTAATATGACAGACAGCAACCAACGACAACCACAGAATAATGGAGGCCTGGCTTTAACGAATAAAGAATGTGACGGGGTTACACGTTTGTGAACGCTCAACCCTCTCCTAACCTAGTACAGTAGTGTAACAGCACAAAATAAGAACAAACTCAGTTGGACATGACTTGGCCCTTTAGTTTGGCACGAATCAGAAAAAGCTAACTTAAAGACAAAAGACACAAAGTACCAATCTAAGAGTAAACGAAGTTACTGAAAGCCAGTCCAAAGCCAATTACAAGTTATTAAATCATCACGGTTCTCCTAGACTAAAGTATCAATCAGTACACATCCTACGGATTTAGTATAAAGACGTCGTAAACAGTCTGAAAAATGTATGACCTTGTGCAATGACAAAACATAAGTACATAGAGATGGCTGCCATATTCTTCTTCTATACACTGCACACAATCACGACGATCAAACAATATAACATCAACGCCTAATTCAGACTTTTTTTCCCCGAGCATGCAATTTATTTTTTTCGATATCCTTGAAATGTCTGGTTTTACGTAAAGATGTAGGACCTAATACCCACTTGTTTTATGCCAGGCCACTTTTAAACGGTCTTTCAATCTGGACTAAAATTTGCAGAATCACAGATTCTTGAGGTAACAGTGAGGTTCTAGTGGCACATGTAGTATTTTTCAAAAAACACTCAAAATATAAATGCTTAAGCATAAATCTTCAAAGCATATCATTGAGACTCTATTGTTTGAATTCATTGAGGTTCATTCCATCAATTTTCAGATTTTGACCCTTTGGAAATTATTGCCCCTTTCTTTCTACAAGAAAGAGGCTTAGGATCTGTAATATAGAGACGGAAGATACCAAGGGAATATTCAAAACTCTAAAGTCGAAGATAAACTGACAACGCCATCGCAAAAATACGAAAGTCGACGAAAAGACAGAGAAGTCCACAAAACACTACATAGAAAACTAAAGACTGAGCTACAGGAACCCCATCACAACTGTAACATTGTTAACACACAATTGATAAATGTGCAAGTGATTATTTGCCATCGGTTGCATCGCTCTATGATGCAACCATTGCCAGATCTGACCAATTACAAACTCTCGTTTCATTCTTATATCAAATGTTGATGCGATCACTTTTTCTTCACACCGTGACCGTGCTTTGAAATGAAAAACCGGGAATAGTAAAAGCGTTGTTCCATTGCTCTGGGTTTTGTCAACAGCATAAAGTGATTTGGTGTCATAAATTAAGTAGCATTCCATATCTATTCTTCCATGTTCTAAAAGCTACCAATATTAACTGTATATGCGAATTAAATGTTAAAGCACGCAAATCCACGGAACTAAATTGTATAATAATATAATACAACTGATAGATTAAACAGATTAAATATGAATGCGTCGATAATTCAATAAATTGTAAATAACGAATTAAATCTTAGTAGTATATGTTGCATATGCATAACTGCGTTTTTAACTCCGTTTGAAAGCAATCATACTCTTAATGTTTTGTCTATCCGTCTAAAAAGGTGATGCCAATGACTAAGGCATTTGTGTTTTAGTCGGTATAAGTACAGGTATGTAAAGTCGGTGCTTATGAATCGTGCTCGAAAAAAAAAAATTGTGAAATTACAAATTGTTCGGGTTTCAAAGAATAAAAGGGAGATCTTAGACAAAATAGGAATTTCCAAATATTCATGAGAATGTTATCTTATTTGCACCAACAACTTATCCGTTGTTTTCATGCAATACTTTTAAAGAAGAGCCATATCTGTTTTATATATTTACATAACAGGTATATATAACGGATACCTTTGACTATTTTCCTTCCTCCTAAAACTGTAAAATGTTTAGATAATTAGATCTATACAACCGAAATCGAAAGTACATGATTTGAAATAGTCATCAACGTGTGGTAAAAAATGCTGAACTATACTTAAAAATGGACTTAAAAGTTATGAATACTTACATGAACTATCGTGAATGAAGCATCCCCTTACACTGCTTGTATGATTCAATGTCATGCAGTCACTACAGCTGTAAAACAGTCCAATTTCGTGACATCCTTCGATCACCCAGAATGGTGAAAAGAATCCTATGAAATGTAGTGCATATCCGAACAAAAATATACTTAGTAAAGTGCACGGAGTTATTTGGAACACACCTATATCTATACGTACAGTTCGTCTTTTCGCCATATTTATTTTTACCTATATTTATATATATATATATACCGGTATATACCTGTTGTAAGGTCCAATGATTTCTAAAATAGTTATTATATGAGTGTAAAACGATAGCGTGGGAGATAAAAGGGACGAAAGGTGATATTTAACTAAATTGTCGATTAAATGTTAAGTTCACGTATTTTCCGTATGACTTTTTTATAACACTTTATAGAGAATAATAATAAAAACGAATATATAAAACATGGAACTACTGTCGTTTTGAATTACAGTGTTCTGATAATTGCCCACTGTCACGAATTATATATCAAGAGCGTCATTCGATATCGAGGAATCAGTCCGTTGACCTATGCGTTTGTATGAAGGTACAAAGGAGAAAAGTCCGTTGATCGAGAAGGACAAGGGTTCGTTGAAATAAAATTGTGAAAAGTTGCCATGAATTGTGTAGAATTTTATAATTTTCTCCGTTATTCATATTGTTGTAGCTAGTAATAATGAGTATTAATTAAGAAAAGAAACCGACCCGGGTTACTGTAAATTCAAGAGCCAAATGTTGGTTATACTGTGACCTACATGAACCTAAAAAGGCGACAAGACATCCATGCAAATCCTCATTCCAATGTGTTTGAAAATTTAGGATGAAAACCCGAAGAGCGATAAAAAAAAAACCGGTGAAATTTGAATCAAATCGTGACTAGATCGACAAACAACCTTAATTAATGTTTATATGCATTTTAACTATTTCCAGAGCAAAGAATGCAAAAGATGAAATATATTTAGGTTATATCAACAATATACATGGGTAATTACAAAAATCCATTATTCAATTAAAAGTAAAACACAAAACCCATCATCGATCATTGAATTTCAATACCTAAAAATAATGCTGGATATTTTTTTAACCAAGGATAACACATGAATGCCATACAGCTTATTTCCAATGGGGTCCTTTATAAGTATCGCCTTAATGTGGATATTCAAAGATGAAAATGAATAATAAGAGGGACATGGTGGTATTTAATAAAGAAAAGTGAATCCAATATTCAAAAATATACTTTCATCTACAGAAGACACGTTCCTCGCTGGTACATTTCACATGACATTTTTAAACTTTCGTAGCTGGAATTAAGATGGATTTAATTGAATCAGATGGGGAATTCCAATCCTGGATTGCATTATGATAAAGTGTAGTGGATTCGATACCTCTTATTTTAGGTCTAAAATACAATATATTTGTTATAAAACTACTAATAAACCGTCCGTTCAATGTTGAGTAATATGCATTTACTCAGTCCTTCACTATTTGTAACCATCAAACTTTCGTACATTTGATATACCAATTTTTTATTTCTACAACTTAACATAAATGTTTAAGTGGTCATAAGAAATAACTTGCTGTGCGTGGTACTTTAGACTGTAAGCTGATTGAAATGAACAAATAAGTGCAAGCTACCTTCAGTGTTGCATTTCAAATCAATCAGATTTTGAAAAAAATAAATTATCATCCTGGAATAAAAGGAGATATGAGCTACACAATACGGCATTTCAAAATCAACCAGCGCCTAAAACAGAAGATTAAAACAAGCTATGAATGAATTTAACAAAGACTTCAAAATATTTCACACCCTGAACAACATTTGAAATCCTGAATATTCTACAAACCCAACGTCGTTTGATGAAAACATAGAATCAAGCGTTATGTTACGTACCTTGAGAGTCATACAAATTTATTGTAAACAGATTTTAAACCCGCAATTTACATATACTTCGTCTGGAATTTAGCCGAACAATGTTAGATTGTCAATATGTTCTTTTCCCTGTAAGTTTTTTTAACCCATGCTTCTGTTCTGTGACATTGTGGCAACACCACCAGCACTAATCTATCATTGGGACGTTTCAAATATTCAACTTCACTACAATGAGGCTTTTTTTTATCGTACAATACAACGGACACAAGGAGATCAACAAAATCCATTTATTGGCCTACAATTCACAATTAGCTTTAAGAATCTAGCCATGGTGGCCTTTTCTCTGTTATCATTCCTAATTTAGAGAATTAGCTGTGAGAGAAAGACAAAGGAAAGAAAATTTAGAAAATAATATTTATAATTACAATTGTGCTATAACACCTTTAACCATCTTACATGATATAATATGTCATATTCAGTATAAAAGGAAAACATCAAAGTGTTAACATATATGTCGATTCCTTGCAAAGATATAGCCCTGAGTGGAGAATTGCAGTGAACATAAAAAGATATACATGTATATATATATTTTAAACAGAAGATAAATACATGCAGAAATTTTCATTTTTATTACAGCTGTAATGCAATCTAGATTGTGATTGTTATAAACACTTATGAGTTGATTTTCACTGTTCTAGAAAATGTGTACAAGTAGTGTATAGACTTTCAGATAAAGCTAAAGAAGAGTATATGTTGCCTTAAAATCTAAACTCCATATAGTGATAATGTGTATGTAAAACATGGCCTCAATTAAACAAATAAATAATTCCTAAATTAAAATTGGATCAAAAGAATGGATTTCCGATTTCAACCCAAATTGTGTAGCCCTATAGAAAAAAGTTAATTTGAGTTAACACAAAACTCAATTTTCAAAAAACATACTTGGGGTTCATGGAAAGTTTTCTTACTTAGCAGTAAGTTGTGAATTAGGTTCATTTCCTGTTAACATAAAGTCTTATAAACTTACTAGAATGTATAAATATTATGTGTGTCTTAAGATTGATGAATAGTCTGGCGGTCCACCTGGAATTCTTAGTGAATTTGAAATATATAAAACCCTCACAAAGTATAGACAGTTCATGGTCAAATAAATTATCTGAATTATCAAAACATATTGGAATATGAATTTTGTTAACAAGAATAAAAAAAAAAAGACTAGACGATTTTTACAAAACCAAAATAAAATATAGAACTGTCAGACATATATAGCAGGGTACTATATATATGTCCATGGAACTGTCTAACATAAGAGATGGCAACTCTGGGAAACGTTTAGTATTTTTTGTATTCAAATCTGTAAGGATTCAAACAGCAAAGAATATTCATTAAACTATGATGTTCCGACGGATCTTAGAAAAAAACTTATGAATGAGTGCACGCAATAGCCATAGAAACTGGTAAATATACTAACACCCTCTAGTGATAGATTTGGTAAATTTTGCACGGGACACGTTGAAAATGAGATACATTTCTTGCTCAAATGTCCGCAAAATACCAGAATTGTCCGCAATATACCAGAATTAGAACTTCAATTACTATGGAATGAAAGAAAAAGATACAAATTTTACGAATGTAATGTTTATCAAAATGACAAACCCTTATACCGAAAAGAACTAAAATCAGTTTGTATGTTTATATAAGAATCTGTCCCAAAGGGCCAGTGCACACCAGATAGAGGGGACAATGGATCATGCACCCACCCATGGGACAGGGGTCAGTCTTTCATCAGGCTTAAAGAATGCATGTTAAGCATAACTATAAGGCACACAACTATTTTCAACAATTTAAAAAAATACTGTTTAACGAATAATAAAAGAATATAAAGCCAAAACAATAATGAAACAAAATTTCCAAAATAGTCCTTTAATGTTCTTGTAATTCACAATTAGTCGTACGTCACTAATCTCATAGAACAGTCAACTATTAACGTCCAAAAAGTCCAGAAATTCGAATTGTTGAGTCGTTAAATTTGAGTTTGTTCCTGTGGTTACGTCCGAAACACGGCCACATCTTTCACAGCTATAGTGAACATCCTGAGTTGCCGCGACGGTTCTGATACTTAAGATCGTACTGCTTATTCACAGTTTTGAATCAAACTTCTTTCCTCCTACTATTATATCACTTAAAGGTATTTTGTTCTGGAGCTCAGATAACTGCTGTTACTTGATGGTCACCTTAAGTGACTATGATGTTACTGCCTCTGCATGGTGATTCCGTCTGGTGACTCTCTATTGACTGATTTCAACGGTCGCGGTTATTTTTTTTTTGATGGACGGCTTGCCAACTGGTAAATGGGCCCTGATAACTAACTTTTTGGAATAATCCATTACATTTTAATTAACATTACTGTTGAATAGAGTTTGATGAAGACTATCCTTGCGGATAATGCGCCGGAAAGCCTTATTATATAAATGTATATATGTATTTCAAAAATTTAATGTTAATGAGGAATTTAAAGACCTGTATATTCTATTCGTTTTTAATGTTGTGTGAGTTTTGTTCTTTTTCTTATTTTTTTCTTTCTTAACTTTATCTGTTTAACGTATTAAAACATTTATACGGTAAATGTATTACCAAACAATTATTCTGTTTTTATTCTATAAGAATAATGTTTTTAAAATAAACAAATTTATGACAAGTATGGATTTCTATAGTGAGACTCACTATACAAATCCTTGGTATTACTAATTTCAACTTTCATATAATTGCAGTTATCAAATTTATTACAAAACTTCATAAGTAGTGCCATTTCAATTAAGCTAATTAAAAGGTAAAACTGAATGTGTTAATGGTGTCTAAAGTCATTAATAATTAGTTATTCTGACAGAACCAAATTTACCTGGCATAATTTAATTTGTTTACAATTTTCTTAACAAATAATTTCAAAATAAAATATTAAATAAACTTAAAACACAAAAATAACTATATTAAAAAGCACAAAAATAAGCAGAAACGTATATATTATGTATGTCTCTGAATTAAGAGACCACAATACCGTTTCACCAAATATAAATTATTTAGATAAAAAAAAATTACCAATCGTACACACGATATATCTGATAAAACTATTAGTTGAAATTATTACTTATATACCATATGTAAACTAATAAGATTTCTTTGTACAGTCAGTTTATTTGTGTAATGTATTGGATCACGCCTTTGCTGTGTTCTTTTTCATGATTGCCTTGAAATATTGAATTAAATATAACTTTGGGGACAGGTTCGGGATATAATCTGTCTTTTAGAAATATCTACCCCTAGAAATAATGTCATGTGACCAATGTACACAAAGTTCAAGATGGCGGAAGACAAGTTTTGACGTTTCAGTTTCTTGTTCTACAATAATCATGGATTTAAATTCAACTTGGGGAATTCAGTCTAAAAACTTATCGAAAAACAGAAAATGCTCAGCTGACGTAACCTCATTAGACTCATGGAGTGAAGCAATTGACGACGAAGAAGTTAATTTAAAAGCGAAATCCGAACGCGAAACCGGTACAGGACAATATCTGAAAAAACAAGCTAAATCGAAAACTGAGTCACAAAAACATCTAAACGATTTAAAAAATCGGAAAAGTTTAAGTAAAACATCTGTCGTTTTGAATCCAAAAGCATTGCATAGCATCAATAATGAAGAACATGTAAGGTGGAGCTTAGATTCGAGTCCAGATAATTATTCCAATGAAACTGTACAAAATTCAACTCTACAGACATTAGACCAAATTCCATCCACCTCATCAAATAGAGTTAGTGGTTGGTCAACTTTCTCATGTGAATCTGATCAGTTCAATTCATTAGACTATTCGTCTCTTCCATTACCCCTGAACTTGTCTCTTCCGTTACCCCTGAACAGGGAATCTTCAAGTTTCCAAAGTGACATTATGAAGACACAAGGACAATCTTCAAAACTCAAAAGTAAATCTTATCAAGGGTTAAGCAAGAACTTATCTGCTGAAGTTAGTTCTTTTTTTGCTGGAGATGAAGATGAATCTGATCAACCTCGATCTCTACCTCCAGATCTGAATAGAAGTTACTTGTGGACAGATGATGTGGATCAGAAAGAAAAAGTTAAAAATAAGCTAATGTCAGTTTGGAACAACATGAAATATGGTAAAAAAATATTTAGAGGAAAAGGGCCGTTTTGAAACATAACATCTTTGGCAATTCAATGTATACTCCGTATACAATGTGTACTTTCTGAAAATACAATGTACTATGTTGTACATATTTAATTTATTAATATTTACAACTAGAGGAGATACCGGTACAATCGAGTTGATACAATCAATGTATATGTTCTCCCTCTGACCTATGTATAATTTATAAATAATAGATATTTACTACTAGAGGAGATACATGTACTGTACAATAGAATTTATACAATTAATGTTCTCATCAGACTTTTGATATCTATGTAGCACCATGCTGGTAGCATGCTATGGTCCTATAAGCTTGAGTCAATAATTTTAGTTCTTGCTAGTAAATTAGAAGTCTAATTTCAAAGATTGTGCATTTTTAAATAATTCTCCACAATGTTGTACTGTACATTGTACATCAATATGTTATTAAAAATTACGACCTACAGCTAGTATACAGTCTACCATGTGTAATTCATAAAAGCATGTACTAAAGACACTTATAGCACATAAAAAATTAATGATTGATGGTACATGTACTTTAAAGCTTAATAGAACTACAATTCTGATTTATGATGTCAGTGACTGCAATATACAATGTAGGGTATTTTATGTACATGTATATGAGCTCTTTTGAATTTTAGGTTGGACTTTAAAGACAAAAACAGCATTTAAATGTGACAGTCCAATTTTCTTATTGGGGACCTGTTACCATATAAGACCATCTGGTATGATTATTTACTAATAGCTTATATTACAAGACTACTTATATGTTTAAAACATTGTTATGTTTTACTTTATAAATATATTAAAATATTGTAGCATTTGTGCTAAAAGGAGTAGGGGCATTAAGGCCCGGTTTTGGCCCAAGAAAATAAACTGGTTGAGAACTTTTTAAAATTTGCACAAAATGATTGGAAATGCATAAAATCAAGAAATATAATTTGAGTTACATAAGATTCTCTATGTTATGACATCACAATTACGTCATGATATGCACCATTTTCATGAAAACAAAAATAACTGCAGAGTTTATGCAGTTTTTAGCTCACCTGGCCCAAAGAGCCAAGTGAGCTTTTCTCATCACTTGGCGACCGTCGTCGTCTGTCAACTTTTACAAAAATCTTCTCCTCTGAAACTAATGGGCCAAATTTAACCAGGCTTGGCTACAATCATCATTGGGTATCTAGTTTAAAAAATATGTCCGATGACCCCACCTGCCAACCAACTGACCAATATGGCAGACATGGCTAAAAATAGAACATAGGGGGTAAAATGCAGTTTTTGGCTTATATCTCTGAAACTAAAGCATTTAGAGCAAATCTGACATGGGATAAAACTGTTCACCAGGTTTAGATCTATCTGCCCTGAATTTTTCAGACGAATCAGACAACCCGTTGTTGGGTTGCTGCCCCTAAATTGGTAATTTTAAGGAAATTTTGCAGTTTTTGGTTATTATCTTGAATATTATTATAGATAGAGATAAACTGTAACAGCAATAATGTTCAGCAAAATAAGATCTACAAATAAGTCAACATGACCAAAATTATCAGTTGACCCCTTAAGGAGTTATTGCCATTTATAGTCAATTTTTCATAAATTTTTGTAATCTTTTACAAAAATCTTCTCCTTTGAAACTACTTTGCCAAATTTAATCACACTTGGCCACAATCATCATTGGGGTATCTAGTTAAAAAAATGTGTCCGATGACCCCACCTGCCAACCAACATGGCCTACATGGCTAAAAATAGAACATAGGGGTAACATGCAAGTTTTGTCTATTATTTTGAAAACCATTATAAAGAGAGAAAATCTGACAAGAACAAAAATGTTCAGAATGTTGAGCTCTACCAATTGTCCGTACATGTCAAAACTGTCAGATGACTTCTTATAGGAGTTATTGCCCCTAAATGACAAATTTTACCATTTTTTTTCACTTTTGCCTTCTATCTTGAAAACTATAATAGATACAGAGAAATTTTAAAATGATCAGCAAGACAAGTTCTACAAATAGGTCAACATGGTCGAAATGGTCAATCGACTCCTTATTAGAGTTATTGCCCTTTGATGATGATTTTGACCAATTTTTTGCGTTTTTGTCTTATATCTTAAAATTATAATAGACAGATAGAAACTTAGCTAGGCAAAAATGATCATCAAAACAAAATCTACAATGAAGACAATATGGAGGAAATAGTCAGACGACTCCTTATTGGAGTTATTGCCCTCAAAAGACGATTTTCACTTTTTTTTTGCATTTTGCCATATATGACATGTATGATAGAAAATTATAATAGATAAAGATACACTTTAAATCACAAATATGATCAGCAAGTCAAGATCTACTAAAAAGTCAAATTTTGCCGATATAGTTTAGTAGACTGTCACTCTTTATAGGCGTGATTGTCCTTAAATGAGGATTTTTTTATCCTCTTTTGTGTTATGAGCAAAAATTAAAGAAGATAGAGAGAAACTAAATAGGCTAAATTATAAGCTATACAAGATCAACAAAACAGATTTTTTTCATGAATTCTATTCCTGTCTACAATGTTGGAGAGTGTCCTTTGTTGAATATGCACATAGACTAAGGTGAGCGACACAGGCTCTTTAGAGCCTCTAGTTCATCTTTATTTCCATTGTGGATACTGCATGTGCAGCCAAGAAACAACAAAATAATTTCAGAGAAGCTTTATTATGACTATTGACATAATCTCACAAAAAAATAAGTTGTTTCTTGAGTGTGCACATACTTTTCCAATCTAATTTATACTTAAAAGATGATGTAAAACTATGAAATCAAGACATTTTACAAAATTTACAAATTTTGTCATAGTTTGTTGCCATGGTAACTTGTTGAATTTGAAATTTGTTCTTATTTTTTGAACACCTTAACTTGTACCTTGGTGTAGTTGGGACAAATTTAAGAATATACATGTATAGTAACTTTTCATTTTAAAGGGATAGTAGCTACGATTTTGACAAAATTATGACCAAGTTTTAAAGCTGCTAAAATCAAAGATATGTACTTTAAATTAACAATAAGATCGGTGGAATGTTTATATATAGTACAGAAGTGTTAATAATTGATAATTAATATCGTGTAGCGTGCATTTTCATCTCATTAATTATGCATCGGGTTTACTTCCCGAACTTTGCCGACACAGCGAGTGCGATGACCAAGATATAAATAGATATGAACGTGCTTTTGTTTTCTTACGTATTTGACAATATCTTTAGATTAAACGTACATATTTGAAACCATTTATCAAATTATGTAAACAACAAAATATACCAAATGCCTGCATATTATTCGAACCCAAGGTTCTCCAACAATGGCGATATTATACACTTGTTTTATATTTGTATGACAAAACAATGCCGATAACGTATACACGTGTTTGTGAATTGAATTTGGGCCTTCATGCAGGGTACACCGAAAGAATAATATTAAATTGTAAGAAGTTGATTTTTAATGTCTTCTAAGTTGTGAGATCACTGCTCTTAAATTTATAAAAATATTTTGGACAATAATGATTTGAACACGTCGCGATTTATTTTCATGTGATCTGGATTCGAAAAGTTCAGAAATGTTTTTTACATTTCGCAAACCGTCCTAATGTCGACTGCTTATATAATGACTTTATCTGCGTGACGGGTGTTTGTAAATGATTCTAATGACCGATCTCATCGCCGTTATTTATTTTCAATTTACAATAACTTGTCTGCACCTCTTTACTGTTTCTTTTTCTCGCAGAAACTGTAAACACACGTTCCATTTCCGCGATAACATTCCTCTGTTCGACATTTTCCCTTCGAGGGACAACTTGCGATTGCGCATTGGGAACTGCGGAGTTAAGGTCAACATAGGTCATATGAATAAGGGTTGGCTTAACTTCGAATTTTTGTCTATAGATAAGAATTAAATTTAGGTGTAAAACGTTAAAAAGCTTCTAAATGCTAATTGGAAAGTAAACAGTGATGGTTTTATTCATTCTAAATAAACCTTTTGTACAAAATCCGGCATATAGATTAGAAAAATAATTTTAATGAAAATCGTAGCTACTATCCGTTTAAACTTATATATTTGGTCCATATAAAGGCCTTATTGCCCCTATTCCTCAAAGGACAAAAGAACACAATTTTAAACATACATTTTGTACATGTATGCTAAATTGCCAATACATACATTTTTTGAAGTCACAATTTATTCAAATGGTTTTTATCTTATACACATTATATTATAATTTTGTACCCTGCACATGTACACACACTTTTATTTATTCATATCTTTTATCATGACTATTGCAAGTGTTTATGGTTCTTTAATAGATATATTTTATCCCTTGATTCTGCTTATATCATGGAAATTGTAAAATTTTTGTGTAACAATATGTGTAGGCTTTTTTTTTTTTTTTTTTTTTGCGCCTGTCCCAAGTCAGGAGCCTCTAGCCTTTGTTAGTCTTGTATTATTTTTATTTTTAGTTTCTTGTGTACAATTTGGAGTTTAGTATGGTGTTCATTATCACTGAACTAGTATATATATTTGTTTAGGGGCCAGCTGAAGGACGCCTCCGGGTGCGGGAATTTCTCGCTGCATTGAAGACCTGTTGGTGACCTTCTGCTGTTGTGTGTTCTATGGTCGGGTTGTTGTCTCTTTGACACATTCCCCATTTCCATTCTCAATTTTATTTACTATAAAAAGTTTTAAAAACAATTATAAAAAACCTGCATGTATAAGTAAAATAGACCATTGTTTTGTTTGTAATTGAATGGATTTATAATTATCCCTTAATTTTGAACAGACGAAGAAGTGAGGCCAGGTGAAAGAAAGAAAAGACCACCAAATGTTGAGATGTTTAAACAAGATTTTGCTAGTCAGATCTGGTTTACGTACCGCCAAGATTTTCCACAGATACCAGGAACAAAGATGACATCAGACTGTGGCTGGGGATGTATGTTACGAAGTGGACAGATGATGTTAGCTAGAGCTTTCCTTACTCATTTCTTAGGAAGAGGTAAAAAATGTTGTTTTATGTACATTGATTAATTTTGGAAAAGTTGACTGCTCTAATGTACTAAAAAATCTGTACAGAATCTGTTTAGGGCTTTTACCATGAAATGTATGTAATCCAAAATAGACTAAATCAAGTAAGATTTGGAAATTGCCAGCATTGATTTTTGAAGTCAGTTGAAGTTGTACTCTATCATACATAGTTACATATACAAGCCATCATTTCTTAGTAAGTTCTTATAAGTTCAAAATTTCCTTGGTTTCTTTTCACTCATTTATAATCATTCTACATGTTCTATACATGCAACAGTATCAGTCATTCAACACACACATGAACAAATATCTATGAACAAGTACAAATGTATGTTATAAATCCATACACAATAAATTTTTTGATGAATATGAAATTTGTTGATTTTATAAATCAGCTGCAAATATATTTTCAAATTGATCAAACACATTGCACATTCTGAAGTACAATGTAACTTCTGATTGACCTGACAAAACATAGAAAAATGATATTGTTTTTTGGATGTTTAAAAAATATCTGATGTAAAGGCTGGGTTTTCAACAAAAATCTGGTCATTAATAGGGGGTGGTACAACAGGTGGAAGAATGGCTTCAGCTGTTTCCATGTCATAACTTATAACTGTTCAACCAATGCTTGTCAAATTTATATATGTTGTTATTGCAGATAAAATGGAGGTCAAGTTCGATATTGACTGTTTTCACCTTTGCCATGCTAAAATCGAGAGTTATGATCCTCAATTGATTGGAAAATGGCACTTTATGTCATTTTCGTGCAATAAGTTGAGTTACTGATGACAAAAATTGTGGTCAAGTTTGATTATGACGTTTTGGTTTTCATTTTTACTCTTCAAGAGTTATGGTCTTTGATTGATTGGATTATGGCACTTAATAACAACTACGGGTGGTCACTGTCTGGCCTCCAACAATAAGCAAATCCCATACCATATAGTCATGATACATGTAGACAGCTATAAAAGGCCCAATATGACAAAATGTACAACAATTCAAACAAAAGGCCTGATAAAAGAAAAACAAATATGATGACTGCAACCAACACTGAAATACAGGATCCTGACATGGGACAGGCACATAAATTATTTGGCAGGGTTAAACATGTTTGTGGGCACTCAACACTCTCCCTAACCAGAGACAGTCATGGAACAGCACAAAATAAAAATCAGTTGGTCCATTTTTGTCTCGCCTTGACGGAGTCAAAAAGCGAGACATAGGTATGCTGTTTCCAGCGTCGGCGGCGGGGGCGGCGGCATCAACAATGTATTAGTTTGTGATTAGGTCTAGTTCATGGTGAACCACAAGTGGTAGTTCAATGATATTTGGTATGCTGTTGTATTAGCATTGGCATATCTCATTACCATGGAGATTATTTGGCCCCGACCCCTCAGTCAAGGTCTATTGACTTTGAAACTTTTCATAGTTTACATGTATTAGTTTGTGATTAGGTCAATTTATGGGGAACCACTAGTGGTTGGTCAATGATATTTGGTATGCAGTTGTATAAGCAATGGCATATCTCATTTCCATGGAGATTATTTGGCTCCGCCCCCTTAGTCATGGTCTATAGACTTTGAAAATTTTGCTAAGTTAACATGTATTAGTTTGTGATTAGGTCAGTTCAAGGGGAACCATTAGTGGTAGGCCAATGTTAATTGGTGTTCAGTTGTATAAGCATTAGCACATCTCATTTCCATGGAGAATATTTGGCCCCGCCCCCTCAGTCATGGTCTATTTACTTTGAAACTTTTGCTTAGTTTATATGTATTAGTATGTGATTAGATCAGTTTAAGATGAACCGCTAATGTTAAGTCAGTGATATTTGGTATGCAAACTTATTGGCATTTGCAAGTATTGTTGCCATGGAGATTATATAGCCCCACCCCTGATCATGGTTCATTGACTTTGAAACCTTTTACATAGTTTACAAGTTAATGTTTGTGTTTAGGTTTGTTTAAAGGGAACGACTTATAATAAGTCAATGGTATTTGGTATGCAGTTGTATTAGCATTGGCACATCTCATTCCATGGAGATTGTTTAGCCATGTACCTTCAGTCATGGTTCATCGACTTTGAATATTTGCATAACTTACATGTTAAAGTATTGCTATTTTAATTTCAACATTTGCATTATCAAAATTACAAAAAGGCGAGACATATCTCTGTGATAACAGTTTATTGTAAAATATATATCTCATCTAAGCACTCATGATGAATTTAATGTCAATATTGAGATTTTGACAAAAAAAATCTTAGATGTCAATATTATGATGCTTTCCAGATGATGTTGAAAATATATGTTCCATCACTGCATCAAGTGTGTTACGATATTTCTCCACTCGAGACAGCTACATTTTGATATTTAAAGCGTGAGGCTTGCCAAGCTTTTTGAAAAATTAAAGTTTAACTGTTGAGAGTGTAGAAATATTGTAATACACGAGTTATAGTGGTGGTATCTGTTTCTCTAATGATTTTTAGACGATGTCTAAACAAAGTTTACCTTTCCTCATGAAAGATTTGCAGAAAGTTGTGTTCTTTTTATGTGACGTCACCAGGCATGGTCGCCTTTTTTCATGACGTCACAATAGGAAATTCAGAAGAAACCAAGAAAATTTGAAGCCATAATTAAATTCGACCAATCATTTGCCAAGAACAAAGTTTTCTCTAGAGATGAGAAATATTTTTCTCACACAATATTTCTTACACCGATTGAGAAATGTGAAAAAAGCATGAAAATTAGAGAATACATTTTCTCCTCACCATGACATTTCAAATTTTTTTCCTTTTATTTATACTTTCCTTCTTTATGGTAAATAATTATTTGATATTTATGGTTTTAGATTGGAGTGTATTTCGGCAGCAATCAAGAGAGCATGATACATACAGAAGACAAATCATTCGTTGGTTTGGTGATTTTCCCAGTGAAAACTCACCATTTTCAATTCATCGGCTAGTAGAAGCTGGGAAGTCACATGGTAAACAGCCAGGTGATTGGTATGGTCCTTCTTCTGTGGCTTTTATACTCAGGTAATCTAACATTATGTGTGTATAGTATTCTGCTCTGGTTTTGTCTTGTGACTGCATTGAATAAAACAAAGCCAAACATAGATGTTGCTTTTTCAATAATTGCAATTGTCAACACTAATCTCAATTATTTGTAGTAGTTGAGGTCTCATCCCTTCAGCATATTGCAGTGCTGTGTTCTCCCCAGAATTTTCAAATAGCACCATGGAAATTAACATAGCACTGGATTTCCAAAAAATATAGCACCATGGCCCCTTTACATTCTAAAATCATAAAATCATCCAAGATAGCACCATGGTAGAAAGTATAGCACCAGGGTATCACAGTGCTTTAAGGCCCTGGGGAGAACACTGCAGTGATTTTACATTGTTTAAATGTTAAGTTTTTGATTATGTACATTTATATTTAATTAATTGGCCATTGATGTATGGTATGCTGTCATTTCATTTACAAGCAGAATGTTAGGCTGTGCCTTCTGATATTGCTCAGTGGCTTATTCATTTTGATTTTATAAGTGATAAGTTTTGAGATAACGTCAGGGGTCTCTTCCTAATCTATATAAAGGTATACACAGATGTGTCGCTTGGTGGGTCACTTTTTTGGAATGTCAATTATAGCAATGTGATGCAATTTCTTGGAGGTAATATAATAATGTTTAGAAATTTATATGTCAAGGGTCATAAATGTTGTTAGGATGTCTTTAAAAACTGTGTGCTGATCTTTTCATCTACTAATATGAATGATCCCGATCCCATGTATTTAACATCTAAATAAGATATCACATATTGTATGTCTGATAGCCAGGAAATGTATAAATTGGTTATCATTTATGACATTCCTATGAAATATATATGTGGGTAAGTATTTTCGCAAAAGTCTATATATGAAGGGGTGGGGGTGTTCTAAACCCCAGACAGCCCCCTCTAAGTTTATTTGATAATACATGTAGTACATTGAATGTTAAGTTTGCTGCTGCATTCATGTTTCATTGGATTTCAATTAAAGTTATGATTTGAGGCTTTGACTGTTTATTCATGCTTCTGTGATTTTGAAAATTTTGCTTTTCTTCAAATGTGTGTTTTCTGATTAGGTATGTTTCTTACATTAGACCATTGAGATTTCGTATACTGCTGTATTAATATGTAGCTTGTCATGTAGGAGCTGCATATATGCATCTTTTGTTAATATATTAATTTGGAACTTGAAATTATCTCCCTTATATGACAGTGCAAAGTAAAATACCTAGACAAAACAAAATTATATGTTTAGAGTTTCCCAACTGACCCTCTTATTTTTATGAATATTTCTTTCAACAATGAGCAAAAGCCATAGTTAGCTATAATAGATATAAGAAGATGTGGTATGAGTGCCAATGAGACAACTTTCCATCCAAGTCACAATTTGTAAAAGTAAACCATTATAGGTCAAAGTACGGCCTTCAACACGGAGCCTTGGCTCACACCGAACAGCAAGCTATAAAGGACCCCAAAAATGACTAGTATAAAACCATTCAAACAGGAAAACCAACAGTCTAATCTATATAAAAAACGAGAAACGAGAAACACTTATGAACCACATCAACAAACGACAACCACTGAACATCAGGTTCCTGACTTAGGACAGGTGCAAACAAATGCAGCGGGTTTGAACATTTTATCTGGCGCCAATAGGTCCAGGTTTACAAAATTCAAAAGTGAAAACCAACCACCAGATTCAAACAACAACAAACAAAAAAAAATTATGACAGAGGACAAGCAATGCCAACCACTGGATTACAGGCTCTTGGCATGGGACAAGTACTTGTGAGTGGTTGAGCACTCAACCTTGAATGACCTTTTCTTCAATACTTGAATTATGGGGTTGTTGAACATCACTTTAATCCCAGTTGGCACAAAAATTAAATTTAGTTGTTTACACTCTTGTCCTTTTGACTCTGGTGGATAGTTTTCTCATTGACAATCAAACCTCATCTCCTTATTTTTATATTGATCAATTTTAATTCAGCAGTCTTGGTAACATTCAATACAATTCATTTGTGGCATGTTTTAAAGTTTTTGAGAGAGAGAGAGAGAGAGAGAGAGAGAGAGAGAGAGAGAGAGAGAGAGAGAGAGAGAGAGAGAGAGAGAGAGAGAAGTTTTTGAGAGAGAGAGAGAGAGAGAGAGAGAGAGAGAGAGAGAGAGAGAGAGAGAGAGGAAAAGAGGAAAAACACACAAATATTATTCCATACTTTTAATTTTGATTTTGAAAATATTATTTCTAAAACTTATTTCTTTACAGAGAATCTATGCAGAAAGCAATAGAGACTCAGCCTCTTCTTGAAAACGTTGTAGTCTATGTGGCACAGGATTGTACAGGTATGATAAAACTGTAAAATAAGAATAAAAAGAATACCATCTGGCCCATGAAAGCTAGAAAGGTGACAACTATACATATTTTTACTTAAAAATAAAGATATAAATTTTATTTTATTTCAACCCTTGCCTTTATCATGTTTATTATTTTTTTGGACTGAATTGGCCAGTGCAGTTTAACATTCTGCTTTGGTGGAATTTTGGCATCTTAAAATTAGCTGATCTCATAGTGGTAGATTAATTTATTTAAAACAAAATGAAAAATTACATTTTGTGACTTTTGTTATGAAAAGAGAAGCTGTTAAAACATGAAATACTGTGTATTGATAATATACAGCTATGAAATAATATTTTTCCAAAAATTAAAAATTATAGTATTCAAACAAATTCTATGTAACCAATTTTTGTGTGGAGGTTGTAGGGAACATTTTGTTCAATAAAGGAGAATTTGACCTTTTTTGAAGGGAACATTCTATTGGAATATGGAGTGCATTTAATGTGATTAATTAGGTTTGTGATTTTTGGAGCACTTCCAGATGATTTTAAGCAAATTGTATAAATAACATGTTCAAAGATCTTTTCAATGAAGTAACCAGGGCTTTAAAATGACAAAATGCATTAATTATCTTTTAAAGCTGCATAAAGAAATATAAAAAGAATATTAAAGGTGTGAAATTATCATTAATGAGACAACTATTTATCAAAGACCAAGGGATGTTCTAGTAAATCCTTGTACATGTAGTACAAAATGTATATGATGTAAATTTTAAAGTATTTTATCAAAACACTTGATTTACAAGATTGTGTCAGCGAAAATGTTGTTCTTAATTTCTGCATGAGCTTGATAAAATATTTTTATGAAATTTGTTAATAATATACAGGGGTAACTAAGGATGAATAAGTTGTGCCATGACTACATTATTTTTTTCTGTTGTAGTATACAAAAATGACATCCATGAGATGTGTTGTGCTAGAGGAAGATCTACAACCAAATTTGGCAGTTCTGATGACTCGGCAGATACAGTTGTGGACACACAGACAGAGGAGTGGAAGAGAGCAGCAATTATTCTAGTCCCAGTCCGACTTGGAGGAGAGGAATTAAACCCTGTTTACATACCTTGCATTAAGAGTCTGCTAGCACAGGATGGTTGTATTGGTATCATAGGAGGAAAGCCTAAAACGTCCCTATATTTTGTAGGATGGCAAGGTAACTATTCTAATGTGAAACAGATATTGAAAATGAATATTTATTGTATTTTGTGAAGCATAAAAATAATGCTCTTTGCAAAATTGATTTAAGGGACATTTATCAATTATAACAATAAACTTTACCTTGAAATAGGGGCGGATCCAGAACCTTGATGTCTGGGGGTCCAAATAATGGAATGGCAGACAACAGTCTAATGGTGCTTAAAAAAAGATGTTTTTTATTCTTATAAAACCCAAAATCCATAATTGCATATGCTCTTCATGACAAAGTTACAACAATGCATAGTAATATTAAAACAAAGCAAATGAATGGCTTGATTTACATTTTTAACTTGAAGTTTTCTGGGTTTTTTTCTGTATCATATTATTAGGTTGTAATGTATTGATTGTGCACTCCTTATAAGTATGAAACACTTCCATGTTTCATGCAATATGTGCTTCAGTCAATGATTGTACACCCAAATAAAACTACAAAAAGAAACATTCAATCCATAAACATTATTGTTCAATAACTGTTAGGTTCCTCAGGTTTAGGTAAACCACACATGCTTTACAGAAATCCTTAAGAGAAAACTAAACCATTGAAAAGAAGTGAATGTTTTTATGATTTTATCTTTTTCTGTTTTCAGATGACAAAGTTATATATTTAGATCCTCACTACTGTCAAGATGCAATAGACACTAGAGAAAGAAATTTTCCAATTCAGGTATGTTGTGTTGTAGATCTGTCAGAAATTTACAGATACATATCACTTCCTTCTTCAGACACTGAAAAATATTTAGAAAAAATCGTAACCAGTTTTGAATCACCAACCATAGTCACCTCATGCAAATAACTAGGTAGTGATCTTTTGTTTGACTAATATATTTACCAGTAGATGACAAATTAATATAAATATCTTAATGTTTTAATTATTTTTAGGAATTGGGTATACATTGCAGATGTTTGAGTCTGAATTGTCAAAAGTCTTGGCTGAAAGTTATTAAACAATGAAGTTACTTGTCATGGAGTAGAATTTTTTATAATATTATTTTTGAGCTTGGTCACTACCTTCTCCTGTCAGAGTGTGAACACAGGTAAAATGTGATAAGCAATCATTAACCACTATCTCATGGGTGATTGAAATAGTAGTTAGGAGGGCCCTTCGGATTATCATACAATTCCAGGGTGGCAGTTTTATTACCAGAAAAGCATTTCTGTACAAATTTTGCATGACCTATATATCCAAGATACCATTTCTGTAATTGGCCTTTCAGATAAGGGGTTGACTGGCAAAAATGACCCTTTTCAACTTTGAGGTTACCTGTGAACACGAGAGTTGTTATTGTTGATTTTTACAATTAACTTTAAACCATTTTATTTCTACATTTTAACCTTTGTGAAATATAAAGTTTTACATAAATTTTCTCTTAATTCCATTATTTTATTTTTTCAGACTTTTCACTGTTTATCACCTAGGAAAATCTCTTTAACAAAAATGGATCCTAGCTGTACCATTGGGTTTTACTGTAAGACAAGAGCTGAATTTAACAGTTTTGTAAAGCAAACAGAAGAGGTTTGTACATTCACATCTAGTATTATATAAATCATATAGGAAGAGAGTAAGTAGCTGAAGTGGCGAACTTTGCTACAGCTAACAGTAACAAGACACATTTACTTGCAACTTATTTTTTTCTACTATTTTTATACGACCGCAAAAAAATTTTGTGGTTGTATATTGGTATGACGTTGGCGTCGTCATCCAACATCGTCGTCGTCCGAAAAACACATTGGTTTTCGAACTCTTACTTTAGTTTAAGTGAATGGATCTCTATGAAATTTTACCATTAGGTTCAATACCACAAAAGGAAGGTGGGGATTGATTTTGGGGGTTATGGTACCAACAGTTAAGGAATTAGGGGCCAAAAAGGGGCCAAAAATAAGCATTTTGGTAACTTCCAGACATAACTTGTGTGTTAGTTTATGGATCTCTCTGACATTGTACCACAAGGTTCCATAACACAAAGGGAATGCAGGGATTGATTTTGGGGTAATTGCCTCCAAATTTTATGAATTAGGGGCCAAAAAGGGGCAAAAAACAAGCATTTTTATATGACCGCAAAAAAATTTAGTTGTATATTGGTATGACGTTGGCGTCGTCGTCGTCGTCGTCGTCGTCCGGCGTCGTCCGAAGACACATTGGTTTTCGCACTCTAACTTTAGTTTAAGTGAATGGATCTCTATGAAATTTTACCACAAGGTTCAATACCACAAAAGGAAGGTTGGGATTGGTTTTGGGGGTTATGGTACCAACAGTAAAGGAATTAGGGGCCAAAAAGGGGCCAAAAATAAGCATTTTTGTAACTTCCAGACATAACTTGTGTGTTAGTGTATGGATCTCTCTGACATTGTACCACAAGGTTCCATATCACAAAAGGAATGCTGGGATTGATTTTGGGGGTAATTGCCTCAAAATCTTAGGAATTAGGGGCCAAAAAAGGGGCAAAAAACAAGCATTTTTCTAGTTTCATGACAATAACTTGTGTGTAAGTGTATGGATCTTTCTGAAATTTTACTACAAGGTTCCATATCACAAAGGGAAAGCTGGAATTGAGTTTGGGGGTAATTGCCGAAACGTTTAGGAATTGGGGGCCAAAAAGGGGCAAAAAATAAGCATTTTTCTAGTTTCCAGACAATAACTTGTGTTCAAGTGTATGGATCTCTCTGAAATTGTACTGCAAGGTACCATACCACAAAGGGAAGGCTGGGATTGATGATGGGGGTTATTGCCTCAAAATTTTAGGAATTAGGGGCCAAAAAGGGGCAAAAAACAAGCATTTTTCTAGTTTCAGGACAATAACTTGTGTGTAAGTGTATGGATCTTTCTGAAATTGTACTACAAGGTTCCATATCACAAAGGGAAAGCTGGGTTTGAGTTTGGGGGTAATTGCCCTAAACGTTTAGGAATTTGGGGCCAAAAAGGGGCCAAAAAACACATTTTTCTAGTTTCCAGACAATAACTTGTGTTCAAGTGTATGGATCTCTCTGAAATTGTACTGCAAGGTACCATACCACAAAGGGAAGGCTGGGATTGAGTTTGGGGGTGATGAATCATAAGGGGGTTCAAAAAATTTGGGGGGGGGATTTTTTTTTTTTCTTTTAAAATTTTCCATTTTAAGTTGGTTATTTCTGATTTATATTTAAAAGCAAATAATAATGATATGGTAGGAGATACACACCAAACAGGATGTGTAAATTATTATATAATAAGTAATGTGCAATAGCAAGAAATTTTCAAGTGCACAGTATTGCACAATAGCAAGAAATCTTCAATTGCACAGTATTGCGCAATAGCAAGAAATCTTCAATTGCACAGTATTGCGCAATAGCAAGAAATATCCAATAGCACAATATTGCGCAATAGCAAGAAATTGTCAATTGTACAGTATTGCGCAATAGCAAGAAATATTTAATTGCACAGTATTGTGCAAGAGAAGATACTTCGTATAAATTGCTTATTTCTTGACCAATTTCAATGGGGTTTTATTCTTGAATTCTTGAGGTTTTTTAATATGCTGAATCATACCGTGTATTCAGTTTTTGGATTTTGGGCCCCGTTTTTAAATTGGTCCACATTGAGGTCCAAAGGGTCCAAAATTAAACTTTGTTTGATTTCATCAAAAATTGAATTATTGGGGTTCTTTGATATGCCGAATCTAACCGTGTATTTAGATTCTGAATTTTTGGTTCCGTTTTCAAATTGGTCTACATTAAGGTCCAAAGGGTCCAAAATTAAACTTAGTTTGATTTTAACAAAAATTGAATTCTTAGGGTTCTTTGATATGCTGAATCTAAACATGTATTTAGATTTTTGATTATGAGCCCAGTTTTCAAGTTGGTCCAAATCGGGGTCCAAAATTAAACTTTGTTTGATTTCAACAAAAATTGAATATATGGGGTTCTTTGATATGCTGAATCTAACCATGTATTTAGATTTTTGATTTTTGGGCCCCGTTATCAACTTTGTCCACATTGAGGTCAAAAGGGTCCAAAATTAAGGTAAAGCTTTGTTTGATTTCAGCAAAAATTGAATTCTTGGGGTTCTTTGATATGCTGAATCTAAATGTATTTAGATTTTGGATATTGGACCATAATAGGTGAATGTCCAATTTAAAATTTTTAAGTTCTTAGACCACATTCATTCTGTGTCAGAAACCTATTTTCCATTTTAAATTGGTTATTTCTGATTTATATATAAAAGCAAATAATAATGATATGGTTTGAATAGGTAAATTAAAAATTTTTAAGTTCTTAGACCACATTCATTCTGTGTCAGAAACCTATGCTGTGTCAAATATTTAATTACAATCCAAATTCAGTGCTGTATCAAGCTTGAATGTTGTGTCCATACTTGCCCAACTGTTCAGGGTTCGACCTCTGCGGACGTATCAAGCTGCGCCCCAGCGGAGCATTTTATTGTGAAATATTTTTAAATACTGAAGTGTAGTTTATGACTACTTGTTGAAAAGACAGCAATTGTTACTATAAACAGATTTTTTTTTAGGAGTGTTGTTGATGGTTTAATGAGTTATACATGCTCTCAGTAAGATTTTTGATTAATTTCATCCACTGAGTTGTTTCAAAGCTTTGCAATTGAAAAATAAGGAGACGTGGTATGATTGCCAAAAAGACAGCCAAACATAAGACCAAATAACAATGGTGGGAACAACTGCAGGTCACTTGTCATGCAAATGGCACCCTGCAAATAAGAAGGTTTCATATTTTCATCTCAGGTCCATCTCATCATAAATTTAAAATAATAGTTTGAAAAATATCATTTTTTGTCTCGCCTTGATGGAGTAAAAAAGCGAGACATAGGTATGCTGTTTCCAGCGTCGTCGTCGTCAGCGGCGTCAACAATGTATTAGTTTGTGATTAGGTCAATTTAAGGTGAACCACTAGTGGTTGGTCAATGATATTTGGTATGCAGTTGTATTAGCACAGGCATATCTCATTTCTATGGAGATTATTTGGCCCTGCCCCCTCAGTCATGGTCTATTGACTTTGAAACTTTTGCTTAGTTTACATGTATCAGTTTGTGATTAGGTCAGTTTATGGGGAACCACTAGTGGAAAGTCAATAATATTTGGTATGCAGTTGTATAAGCATTGGCATATCTCATTTCCATGGAGATTATTAGGCTCCTCCCCCACAGTCATGGTCTATTGACTTTGAAACTTTTGCTTAGTTTTTCGTGTATTAGTTTGTGATTAGGTCAGTTCAATGGGAACCATTAGTGGTAGGCCAATGTTAATTGGTATGCAATTGTATAAGCATTAGCACATCTCATTTCCATGGAGATTATTTGGTCCCGCCCCCTCAGTCATGGTCTATTGATTTTGAAACTTTTGCTTAGTTTACATGTATTAGTTTGTGATTAGATCAGTTTAAGATGAGCCTCTAATGTTAAGTCAATGATATTTGGTATGAAAATTTATTGGCATTTGCAAGTCTCGTTTCCATGGAGATTATATAGCCCCACCCCCTCATCATGGTTCATTGACTTTGAAACTTTTACATAGTTTACAAGTCAATGTTTGTGTTTAGGTTTGTTGAAAGGGAACGACTTATGATAAGTCTATGGTATTTGGTATGCAGTTGTATTAGCATTGGCACAACCATGGAGATTGTTTTGCCATGTACCTTCAGTCATGGTTCATTGACTTTGAATATTTGCATAACTTACATGTTAAAGTATTGCTATTTTAATTTCAACATTCGCATTATCAAAAGTACAAAAAGGCAAGACATATCTGTGTTAATAGTTTATGATAATAATGACACATATTAAATAACTGCATATTTTTGTATATTTTTAGATGATTTCACCACCTAAACAAAAACTTTCCTATCCAATGTTCGTATTCAATGAAGGAAACGCAACAGATGCTAATATAGAGAGTGATAGCTTTGAGAAAGAAGACCGTCTGCTTAGAGTGAAACATTATAAAATGGATCAGTATGGACGTATTAGATCTGGAACAGAAGAAACAGAAGAATTTGTTGTATTATAACAAAGATTTTAATAGGGTTGACATTTGTTTTTTAACAGCTATGTTATTGAAATGCTAAATATTAGGAAACTTATTTTGAATTTGTTTTAAGCTTTATTGTTTATAAATAAAACACATTATTAGTCAAGTAGATATAATTAATATCTAATTTTTAAAAAAGTTGAAAAGAAATTGAAAGTTATTTAAAAAAATTATTATGGAAGTTTCAGCTGAAAAACTTGTTATTTACATTCAGATTTGGGACTAAAAAATTTTCAAATTATGAATATGATTCTGCATTTGCATAATATTATTTTGAATATGGCTGGGAAGTACTTGAATGTTTGAACACTCTTATCTAAGTTCTAAATTATAATAAATGAAAACCAGTTATCAATCTTGATAAAATATTGATTAATAAGCAATATAAAATAAATTAACCTTTATAATCTGGACTGTTGAGAAAAGGCAGATTTAAAAAAAAATTGTTGCATTGAAATGTCACGGGTCAGCGCTAGTGTTTAAATCCCTCCAATCTGTTTTCAGATTATGTTCAGTTGGTCAGTAACAAATAAATATGTTTTAAATAGATTATTTTATTTGCATTTCATGATTTTAAAATTATTTATATACAAAAGATGACATATATTCTATTAAAACAATTTTAAGCTGTTTTAAAAAAACACTTTCATGGATTTTTAAATTTGTTTCCTTAACTCTGAATGAAAAATTAAAAATGCATAAGAAATTAATTTATATATTAAGAGTAAAAAATTGGCTTGTTACTTTTATATTAGCAGTTCCACCATCCACAAAAAAATCAGAAGCAAAAATTTTATGTTTTGGATTGGAAAGCTATATGGATATTGTTCTCCTGTGTTTATAGTTTGAACCCTGGTGAATGTGTGATGAAATAGACTTATTAATAATGTTGTTAGCATTTTAGCTACATATTAGTATCTGTCCTAATTCATGTACAGATTTTAGATAAAATATAAATTTGGAAAACAATGCTACATTTATTATTGTAAATCTTTGACAGTTAAAAAAAAATATATTACATTGTGATTTACATTAAACCATTGTAAGAAATGGAAATGAAAAAACATTCTAAAAATTTTACTTTTTATACTTATCATTTCCCATTTACTAGTAGGATTGTCAGTGGTCAAATGTTTTCATTATTTTTGTTTCTTTTTCTTAGAAATGTCTGCAGATTCTATGGATTTAGGTTAATTTTTAATCATAATTGTTTTTAATGGTAATTTAAATACAAATTTACCCTATTTTTACAATTTTAATTCAATTGATTTGTACAGAAATTTTCCAGGTGAAATTTTATACATTTAGTAGTTTAAATCAAAAAGAAAAAATAATGATTTTTTCATTAAAAACAAATGCACTATGATCAATTTTGAAACTTTTATCTCTTATTTGAAGAAAAATAGACCAGACAAGATTATTTCCCTTTTATATTTCATGAGATTACAAAGGGAAGATATATAAATCATGATGAATACTGATGAAAAGTATAATGTAGCATAAACCTGTAAATTTACAATATTAGTCATGAGGTGCAATATTGCCATAATATATTTATATATATATAATCTGTTAAGAATTTTGTTATGTACATAATGTTTGAGATTTGTAGATATGTTATTTATTTTTTTCTAATTTTTTTCAGTGTTGACTGTATGTTTTGTTTTTCCTCTACTTGAAAACATATAGTATCTGTCATTATTAATTGTTAAATTGGTGATAATTCCAAGTAAAAAAAAATCTTTTAGATATTAACAAGAAAATCTTTTAACATTAAATCATTGCTCTTAACTTGAAGAATTAAATTCTTCCCTTTGATATTTTTTCCCAGTAAATCAATTTTTTTTATCAGCTTTGTGTATGCATTGAACAGACTTTGGGGACTCTGGTGGATAGTTGTCTAATTGGCAATCATACCACTTCTCATTAATTCATCAGCTTTGTGTATGCACTGAACATACTTGTTGCATTTTATAAGGAATGAAGTTAATATTGCACCTTTCACAATCTAAACTTGCATTTCTTCATTCATTAGCATTACAGGTATCAGTGGTAATAATTGAAAGATGATACTTATATTTATATTCATTCTCACAAAGGGTGTTACTGGAATACTGTGAATTCATATTCTTGGGTTTTAATTTTTGTGGTTTGGGGAAAAATTGCATTTTTGATTTTGTGGTTTTGATCAAGTCTGCATTCAAATCTACAGACATTTGTACTTTGTTGAACATTTAAATTTGTGGTTTACCAATACCCACGAAACTCACAAAAATTGATATCCCGTGAATAATAATGAATCCAAAGCAGCTAGTTAGACAGTCTTTGGTCAATTTTGCCTCAGAGAATTAAAGCCTTAGTATTAGTATTATTACATAGTTAATGAACTTACAATAAACAGTCAGAATATATCATTTTATTCATACCTCTAAAAAGGTACTAGACAATGGGTGCATTGTACCTTTGAGGATTGAATGTCCTCGAACTAGGGTACTGACCCAGTGGTCCTAATTAAAAAAAACTCAGATAAACTTGAGTGAAAGTTAGGGAAGCCAAATACATAAAAGGTGTGAGTTTGAAACCAAAAAGTCCTAAACAGAACAGACATTGTCTTAAATCATTTTTTTGCCAGAGGGAGTTGCAACATTACTGTTAATACAAATTGAAGAAATTCATTTCATTGTCAATTACTGTCTTGTATATGTCTCTCTATAATCCTTCCCTTAATGTGCAAGTATATAAAGTCTGTTTAGAGAATGTTGTTTTTTAGTAGATTCCTGGCATAAAAATGAAATTAAATGTAACTACCCACAGTCTGAATTATACAATCTGTAGGTTTCTGCCAGAGTGAGTGTCTCTTGAACATATTCAAACACATTGTATATGCCTTCGATTCAAGAAGAAAATTGATTTGTACTTAAATTAATTAAAAAACATATCCTGCATCCACGCTTTCCTTACAAGGATCTGACAACACTTAGTTCTAATTTCTGTTTATGTTTATTATAATACCAGCCAATGACATTTCTGCCTACAAATTTTTTAAGGTGTGTATCACTACGACAAAACCAGATGATTCCTCTTTAAAACAGAAAGTAAAACTTTTGTTAGTGTTGTCATATCTTTGTAAGCAAAACATTGACACAGGATCTGTGTACCTATGTCTATCCTGTCTATTTTAATTAATAATAAATTCACACAGTATCTTTAATCTCGATGTCCATATTCTCAAGAGCCTATAGAATACTTAATTGTCTCAGCCCTTAAAGATTGAAGAATTTGTAATTTTATGCCATTATTCTAGAAAGCCCCCGAGGTAGCCAGGAGCAGCCTTGAGCCATCTATGACTGTGCATCTAATAATACAAATAGAGAGACTATATAAATTCATAGTTTGTGTAAAGAATAGGATTCAATTCAGAGACTGTAAATAGCATTTTCAGGAATCAACAGTAAAGTTCAAATTGTACATTGCCAAAATCAGGCAGCTGGTGACTGAAAAAGGCTTCAAGGGATTAAAAAAAATAAATGAAATTAGAAAATAAATTTATTCTATTTTATATGAAGTATCTATTTAAGATGCCTTTAGCAACTGTAAACATTTGGATTTGTACAGTCCTTCTAGATACGCCTGTGGTGAAGAAAAGTTAATTACTATACAGAATATCATTTATTCTTTTTATATCATTTTTTTTGTGTTCATTCATATAATTTTTATCCCAATTATTTTTTGATATTCAGTGTGCACTTAACAGTCGGCCTTGGAGTTCATCTTGTCTTAAAACGATGACCTGACATATATAGTTGATGTCTAGACACACTTTAAACAATTTGGGGGAAGTATTTTTTTTAATAAAAGGCAAAACTTAAACCTTTTAAATAAACAATTATTCTAAGATATGTTATGTCTTCATACTTATAGTTCATTGATATAAAAAAAAATCGATAAGAATATTTTGATAATTGACTTTTCTTCTCATATTTAAAGCCTTATTAAAGTCCCCAATTATCATAAAAATGTATCAATATTTGTTATGAATTTAAATGCATGAATAAATGATAATTTGTTTTTGTTTTAGTTGTCTTTTTTATTGGTTTGGTTGTCCTAGACTGAATCTACCAGGTTTTTGTTTTTTTATATATAAACCACTATGATTGAAGTGGGCAGTTAAAATAATAATCATGCAGTTTGAGTTTTGCTATGAAGTCGAGGAAGCAAGTCAGTTTCAGCAGCCTCAACAATTGTTTAATTTTGTGATAAGGTCAGTTTAAGGGGAACCTCTACATGTAATGGTAAGTCGATAATATATGGTATGGGGTCAAAGTATACCCCTCTGTCATGGTCCATTGATGCTGAAACAATGTATTATTTTTTCTTCAACATATGATTCTGCTCGTTCGTTTATTATCTTCTGCCTCTTTTTTACATGTTGGAAGTTTGTGATTTAATAGGTCATTTTAATGGGTACAACTAATGGTTAAGCAGTGAGATTTTGTTTTGCATATTTATCACAGAATACCACAGAATTAGTTGAAATAAAGTATTACTTACCTAAATGATGTACAATATGATAAAATTACAAGTTTCCCTTGCATAATTATACCCCCTGCTTACTAAAGTGATGGGGAGTCTGTCTATCTGTCCGTATGTCTGTTCCTTCATCCATTTGAATGTCCTCCTGTCCCACTTTTGTATCCGCAACTTCTCCAGATCTCCAGAACAGAATTTTATGAAATTTTCACAGAATCTTCCTCACATGAAATACATTTACAACTTTATTTCGTTTATTCATCTAAATGAATTTTGGGTTTACTCTGGGATGACATAGACTTTTTCATATCTATATACTATTGGAGTATAGTACTCATTTGTATCTGCAACTCCTCCTATTCCCCTTTTTATAATGTATTGAAACTTTCTCAGAATCTTTACCATATAATGCCAATGTGCACCTCCTTTTTTGTGTTTAATTTTTTTTCGTCTGGTTTCCCTTACCAAAGCATGGACTTTGCCATAATTCATGCTTTTTTTAGAGCAGGCCCACAAACTAGACAAAATTTGTAGTTGAACCAGTAAAAAGTCTGGATTAACCATAAATGAAGCTCCATGAGAGGGGGTGCCTAAATCCGCCTCTGCTGTGGGGCGTAGTGGACATAGGCCAACCTTTGCTTTGAAATAATAACATTTTTCACTTAAAGTTGTTAAACATTATATTTTTACCATTATGGTATAAATTTACACACACCATTTTCTTGAAACCAGGATCTATTCCTGTACATTATTCAGTTAAAAATACTTTATTCTATAAACCAAGGATTTATATAGTGAGACTATACAAATCCTTGTATAAACTAAAAATAAAAAAAAAGTAGAGGTATTTTGCGGTATTTTATGTGGTATGTCTTTAAAAATAAGTTTACTTCCTATATCGCATAAACTTAACAAAATCTAAAAAGGTCGAGTTATCGAAAGTACGAGTTAGTGAACATTGGTACGAATTCGCGAAGGGACGAGTTCGGCCTAAACCAGAATATTCATTCGGAACTCTCCACTGAGATGGCTTCTCGTCGTCTGAAATCTTTGAAATCGTTTTGTTTGCAGAAAATAGCAAGAAACTTTGAAACATTCTGGTTTAAACCTTTTGAGGAGCAATTTAGCTCAGCAGGAAAACTTCTCCACGTTATTGGTCCTTTTGATGACCTCAGTAAGTCTTCTGTAAATTTTATAGCAGTGCTACTGTTTTGTTTTGGTTGTGAAATACTTTCACTCAGTAGGTCAAAATCTAGTACATTAACTTAACGATTTTCATATTATTGTCTCGCCTTGACGGAGTCAAAAAGCGAGACATAGGTATGCTGTTTCCGGCGTCGGCGGCGGCGGCGTCAATAATGTATTAGTTTGTGACTAGGTCTCGTTTATGGTGAACCACAAGTGGTAGGTCAATGATATTTTGTATGCAGTTGTATAAGCATTGGCACATCTCATTTCCATGGAGATTATTTAGCCCTGCCCCCTCAGTCATGGTCTATTGACTTTGAAACATTTGCTTAGTTTATATGTATTAGTTTGTGATTAGATCAGTTTAAGATGAACTGCTAATGTTAATTAAGTCAATGATATTTGGTATGAATGAAAATTTATTGGCATTTGCAAGTCTTATTTCAATGGAGAATATAAAGCCCCACCCCCTCATCATGGTTCATTGACTTTTAAACTTTTACATAGTTTACAAGTTAATGTTTGTGTTTAGGTTTGTTTAAAGGGAACGACTTATGATAAGTCAATGGTATTTGGTATGCAGTTGTATTAACATTGGCACATCTCATTTCCATGGAGATTGTTCAGCCATGTACCTTCAGTCATGGTTCATTGACTTTGAATATTTGCATAACTTACATGTTTAAGTATTGCTATTTTAATTTCAACATTTGCATTATCAAAATTTCAAAAAGGCGAGACATATCTCTGTGATAACAGTTTATTTTGACAGTAACGTCAATGTTTAAACGATGAAATTTATTCTTAGTGCAGAGTGCAACTGGACAAATTTAAACATTACAACAACAACAACAATTTTTATTTGTCAATCAAGACGCATAATTTGAGGAGCAGAACAATTATAGTTTATATATAAGTTTACAAATAATTTTGATGATTTTTCTATTGAAAAATTACAATAAACTAAAACTATATATGAGAAGGGAGACAACAAAGACAGTGTATCCCCAAAGATAATGAGTGAGTGAACACAATCAGTACCATTGTATTATTTCCCATTAAATAAAAGCCAGAATTGGTATCTTTGATGTATATATGTTACAGTGAATTTGTATAATCAGGGATTATGTAGAATCCCTAAAATCTTCAGGGAATGTGTAGAATCACTGGTTAGTTTAGGGATTATATATAATCACTGAAATTTTCAGGGATTATGTATAATCACTAGAAAAAACGTCAGGGATTATACATAATAACTGAAATGAAGAAACAGTTTTGTGTATAAAGAAAATGAATGAAAGTTAAATAATTTATTCTATCAAATCATATTAAAACTTCATTATAAATATGGTTTGTTAAGCACAATACATGTATTTATTACAATGTTAGGCACAATCTATCAAAATGTTATTTAAAGCACAATATATAAAAATGATAACCTTAATATATAATTAAAATGTTAGGCATAATATTTTAAAATGTTACACAAAATTAAAATATTAAGCACTACATATTAAAATGATATTAACCTCAATATGTATTATAATGTTAGGCACAATATATTAAAATGTTAAGTACAATATATTAAAATGTTAAGTACAATATATTAAAACAATCTTTAAATAAATTTGGATGGCATCGACTATTGCACATTTGACCTGCTTTTCTACAAGCACTTCTATTTGACTCGCATCTGTTTTACCACATTATCCACATTTAAAAAAACCTAGCTTGTCCTTCACATATCGAATCAGATTTTACAGCACTTCTAAGTGAAATAAAGTTTTCAATACAAACATCTGAAGGTACCCAAAAAAAAGGAATCAGCAGCCTCGAACTGATTTTTGGTGTAAGATCCGAGCAGAATTCTGTTGTATTAGTTCTCTCAGTTTGAATTTCATGTTTATGTACCCCACCTTTGTACAACGCCCCCCCCCCCCCCCAAATCCCAACTCGAATCAATCACTGATTTGTTATAAAAAAAATAGTATACCAATGAGAAGCAAATTTGATTTATGTGCATAGTTTTTACAGCTTTTGCTTTTCACAAAATATATTTTTTTCGTCAGATATGTAAGATTGTTTTTTTAGATCCATGCCCAATAACCCCCTTCCTCTCCTATAGTAATGAATAATGCTGTAAAGAGTGTACTATGTATGAAATATAAAGGATAGTATAGCAGCCTTAAAACAATTCAAATATTTATTTTGTCAGCAGATAGTAATAAGCAGGAGTTTTGTCTTCTTAACTTGGTTCTTTTGTCATCAAAGTAAAAATACTATTGTATTTGTTCCTTGTCCATATCTTGTATCTTATTTGTTTGTGAAATTATGTGGTTCAACAGTTAAATAAACAGTTGAATAAAATATCACGGGTAGAACTGTTCACTTAATTTGATTTTTTTTTTATTATTGATAATCCCTGAAATCATATTAGGGAATTTGTAAAATAATTAGTAAAATATTCAGTGATTATGTAAAATCACTGGTCATTTTCAGGGATTATATATAATCACTAATGAGTTTAGTGATTCTACATAATCCCTGAAAAATCAGGGATTCTACATAATCGCTGTTATACAAATTCCCTGTAACATATATACAGATTGAAGGAAGAGCTGGCGGGGCACTCGTGTCTAATTACTTAATTTTGCTCTTCTAGTCTTTTTTAAACTATCTATCAATTTTATCTTTATAGTATTAGTCCCCTACCGACGAAGTCGAAGGGGACGTTAGGTTTGCACTCTGTCCGTCTGTTTGTCTGTCCATCCGTCAGTCCGGCAAATCAGTTTTCCACACTTTTTTTCTTCGTGCTTGAAGATATTGATTTGATATTTGGTATACAGTTTAATCATGACTAATTACAGATCAAGTTAGAATTTTGTTCCGGTCTGATGATTTTGTGCTGAGTTTTGGTCCTTGGACTTAGAAAATTCACGCAAGTAATCAGTTTTCCACACTTCTTTTGTCATGCTTGAAGATATTGATTTGATATGTAGTATGTAGTTTTATCATGACTAGTTACAGATCTCAAGTTCGAATTTTGTTCCGGTCTGATTTTGTGCAGAGATATGCATGGTCCTTGGACTTAAAAAAAAAATCAGGAAAGAAATCAGTTTTCCACATTTTTTTCATCATGCTTGAAGATATTGATTTGATATTTGTTATAAAGTTTACACCATGACAAGTTATAGATCAAGTTAGCATTTTGTTCAAGTACAATGGATTTTTAACCGGTAGGGGACTATGTATTGCCATGCAATACTCTCAGAATGCTTGTTAACTAATGGATTTTCATTTGACATCAACCATATAAATTTTGATTTGATTTACATGACTCAAGATTCGATTAACCAATTAAGGATCCTCTAAGGACATATAATCAACTAACTGGAATAATTCTGTGTGCCTAATAGTGCTACAGTTATGGTAATGCAGCAATCAAAGAGTCGGTCAAATATCTGCGAAATATAATAGAAGATGATTCCATGTATTTGATTGACTTAATGCTTTCTAGAGGAGTCCCATGTTATGGAATGAGTCACTTAATATCAGGCAAGGGGCGAATTACATAGCAATGTAATGCATTATATTACAATTACTTTGACAAAACCATGCATTGAATTACAATTACAATTACATTCATTTATCAAAGTAATGCATTACATTACAATTACTTTTGCTAAGTAATACATTGAATTACACATTACATTTGTAAATTTTATTATTGGGTGAATAGAAAAATCAAACATTTTGAAAAACAACACGCAGTCACAAAAGATTCTAGCATATGCAGTAACTGTTCCATGCATTGAATTTAAGTATACATGTAAACAGCTAGAATATTTTATTCGGCTATTACATTTTTAATTATTTTAACTTAATGTTGACTATACTTTTATAAATATATTTTTTTGTTTTTTTTTTTAATTTCAATCAAAATATTTAATAACTGAGAATTTCTTTCCTAATTATATAATAAACATAGAGCTTAATTAATGAACAATTGTCCAATTAATGAAAATATTGTTTGTAAAATAAACTTATTAGTGTTTTATAACAAACTTCAATAATCTTTTATTTAATCAAGACAAGGTATTCTTTGATCTTATGACAACAATATAGTAATGCTTTTCAAATATCAATCTTTTTATGCAGGAAAATGTATGAAATAAAATTAAATAAAGAATATATTCAAATAATTAATATATTCTTAGTTAATCAAGAAATCTTAAATTCTGCTTTAGTTAAATCTCCAACAATTTTTTAAAGATGAAGTATGTGAAAAAAGTAATGCCATGTAATGCAATGTAATGCATGAAATTACACAACTTTTTGCTAAAGTAATGCATTATATTACAATTACATGTAATGCAAAAATTGCTGCATTACGCATTATATACAATTACTTGGAAAAATGTAATGCAATACCATGCATTACAATTACAAATTTGCATTACCCCATGCCTGCTTAATACCTTTCCTGATTTATTGAATATATAACTGTTTTGGTTTTGTTCAAATCTACTTTTAAGCACAAGTCATGATATCACAGAATTTCTATATTCTACTGAGCTTATTTTGGGGACCTAGAGCAGAATGGGATGGTAAATTAATGTCATCTGCATACTTTAGACACTCAACTCTAAGTTTATTTAAAAATACTAGACAAAATGGTTCAGATAAGTAATTTAGGGTCATTAATAAAAATGTTGAATAGATTAGGACTCTATACATCACCCTGTCTGATGCTCACACAGGAGCTAAATGGTTTAGTAAGCTCATCAGCTAATTTTACATTCGCTTTCAAGAGTTTAATAAATATAGGAATATGTAAAAGTGTATCGTATGCCTTCAATATGGAAATTTACAAAATAGTATAGATCTTTTTATTCTGTGAGAAATACTTATCTATATGGGCTTGTATTTAATCCTAATGTATTGACAAGTAAGTCCTTATTTACACCAAAAAAATTAAATCTTGAGTAAAGACAAACCTGTGCACCTAGAAAAGCTTTAAGACATGGCAGGACCTATAGATCAATTCAAATGCATTTTATGTTTCAGTAAATTAAAAACTTTCATGATTAGAGCCCCTTTATACAATATTATGATAGAAGTGCATTTTCTTCTTTCAGCCAGTGAATTGAATCAATATTTGTTGGATGTTCTGGTGAAAGAAAAGTTACTTAAGACAAAATATTTACAACTCCTTATCAGTAGCAGACTAGTGGAGTTAAATTTGAGCAAGGCACCAAATTATGTGTACAGTGATGGTATAGTAAATTGCATAGCTGATAGATGTCATGTAAGTAGCCACACAGTTCATGGTATACCATGTAGTAGTTTGTCTGCAACAATCTGGTTACTGTGTAATCATTATTGATTTTAACTCATTAAAATGTTGAAAGAGATCTTGGTAAAATTCTGAACTGAGCTGAAGGAAATGGTTTTTAACCACTGTTCAAGTCTTACTTCTTCTTTTTATACGACCGCAAAAAAAATTTTGTGGTCGTATATTGGTATGACGTTGGCGTCGTCGTCGTCGTCGTCTGAAGACACATTAGTTTTCGCACTCTAACTTTAGTTTAAGTGAATGGATCTCAATGAAATTTTACCATAAGGTTCAATACCACAAAAGGAAGGTGCGGATTGATTTTTGGGGTAATTGCCTCCAAATTTTAGGAATTAGGGGCCAAAAATAAGCATTTTTGTAATTTCCAGACATAACTTGTGTGTAAGTGTATAGATCTCTCTGACATTGTACCACAAGGTTCCATATCACAAAGGGAATGCTGGGATTGATTTTGGGGGTAATTGCCTCCAAATTTTAGGAATTAGGGGCCAAAAAGGGGAAAAAACAAGCATTTTTCTTGTTTCATGACAATAACTTGTGTGTAAGTGTATGGATCTCTCTGACATTGTATCACAAAGTTCCATAACACAAAGGGAATGCTGGGATTGATTTTGGGAGTAATTGCCTCCAAATTTTAGGAATTAGGGGCCAAAAAGGGGCAAAAAACAAGCATTTTTCTAGTTTCATGACAATAACTTGTGTGTAAGTGTATGGATCTTTATGAAATTGTACAAAAAGGTTCCATATCACAAAGGGAAAGCTGGAATTGAGTTTGGAGGTAATTGCCCAAAAAGTTTAGGAAAAGGGGGCCAAAAATAAGCATTTTTCTAGTTTCCAGACAATAACTTGTGTTCAAGTGTATGGATCTCTCTGAAATTGTACTGCAAGGTACCATACCACAAAGGGAAGGCTGGGATTGATTTTTGGGGTAATTCCCTCAAATTTTTAGTAATTAGGGGCCATAAAAGGGCAAAAAAACAAGCATTTTTTTAGTTTCAGGACAATAACGTGTGTGTAAGTGTACGGATCTTTATTAAATTGTACTGCAAGGTTCCATATCACAAAGGGAAAGCTGGGTTTGAGTTTGGGGGTAATTGCCCTAAACGTTTAGGAATTTGGGGCCAAAAAACAAGCATTTTTCTAGTTTCCAGATAATAACTTGTGTTCAAGTGTATGGATCTCTCTGAAATTGTACTGCAAGGTACCATACCACAAAGGAAAGGCTGGGATTGAGTTTGGGGGTGATGAATCATAAGGGGGTTCAAAAAATTGGGGGGGGGGATTTTTTTTCCATTTTTTTCTTTACAATTTTCCATTTTAAATTGGTTATTTCTGATTTATATATAAAAGCAAATAATAATGATATGGTTTGAATAGGTAAATTTAAAATTTTTAAATTCTTAGACCACTTTCATTCTGTGTCAGAAACCTATGCTGTGTCAAATATTTAATTACAATCCAAATTCAGTGCTGTATCAAGCTTGAATGTTGTGTCCATACTTGCCCCAACTGTTCAGGGTTCGACCTCTGCGGTCGTATCAAGCTGCGCCCCAGCGGAGCATTTTATTTAGCCATGGCGTTGTCCGTTTATTTTCGACTTATGAGTTTGAATGTCCCTTTGGTATCTTTGGCCTCTCTTTTACTGTAAGTGATTTTGTCAGCATTTTAACTTTTATGCTTTTCCCCTTCATAATGATTTTAAAGTCACAATATAGTGACTTTCTCTGTTTTTATTCCCCCCGCAGTAGTGGAGGGGGCATTAAGTTTAACCCTTGTCCGTCCGTACTTCTGTACGTACCAAAAGTTTTTGTTCTCTAACTTTAGTTTGCCTCAACCAAATGTTATGAAACTTATACACAATGCTTATTACCACAAAACACAGATCAAGTTGGAATTTAGGTGTTGTCTATTAAACCATTCTAGAGTTATGCCCCTTTACAAATGGAAAAATTGCTGAATTTTTCGTTTCTGTTCTCTAACTTTAATTTGCCTCAACCAAATGTTATGAAACTTATACACAATTGTTATTACCACAAAATACAGATTAAGTTTGAATTTTGGTGGTGTCACTTTAACAGTTTCTAGAGTTATGCCCGTTTATAAATGGAAAAATTGCTGAATTTTTTGTTTCTGTTCTCTAACTTAAGTTTGCCTCAACCAAATGTTATGAAACTTATACACAATGCTTATTACCACAAAAGTTGAAAACACAGATCAATTTGAATTTTGATGGTGTCACTTTTACTGTTCTAGAGTTATGCCCCTTTACAAATGGAAAAATTGCTGAATTTTTTGTTTCAGTTCTCTAACTTAAGTTTGCTTCAACCAAATGTTATGAAACTTATACACAATACTTATTACCACAAAACTCAGATCCTTTTTACCATACTTCAGTTATGTCCCTTTATAACTTTATATGATATGCAAGCGAGGGCATCATCTGTGTCCCATGGACACATTCCCCATTTATTTCTCCAATAACTAGCTTAATTGTTGTAATGTGCTATAATACACCCAGATGAGAAAAAAATCATTGACTGGAAAGAAAATGCCAATAACTGGGAGCAAAAACTGAAACCCATTGTAGATCACTTATGCCAGAGAAAGATAAACACTGTGCGTATAAATGAACCTTTTTATAAGTGTGCAGAACAAAGTAAAATATAATAAAAAAAGTCTGTCTTTCATTTCAGAAACTAACAAAGCTGAATTTATCCTACTGTAATAAAGTATCTTCCAGAGCCTTAGAAAATGTTGTAACCCAGCTGTTAACACTACAGATTCTCATCCTTAAAAGTACTAAATGTGACGATAAAGTTCTCATTGCAATAAGTAAGTACCGGTACATGTTTTCAGGTATTAATTTATATCACTTTTAAAATTAGTTTTGTTTTCTACTAAGTAAAAACATGGATGATATTTATATTTACACAGCAGGTGCTTAGTATCACTTAATGGTCAGTTCCGACAGACCATGAAAATATGAGTTTCAGAAGGTATTTTAACGTTTCTCTAATAATCCTTCATAAATAATTTTCAAATGCAACAGCCAAGAAATTTTTATGAATTTTGGTGGCGTCACTTAAACCATTCTAGAGTTATGCCCCTTTACAAATGGAAAAATTGCTGAATTTTTCGTTTCCGTTCTCTAACTTTAGTTTGCCTCAACCAAATGTTATGAAACTTATACACAATGCTTATAACCACAAAACACAGATCAAGTTTGAATTTTGGTGGCGTCACTTTTACCATTCTAGAGTTCTGCCCCTTTACAAATGGAAAAATTGCTGAATTTTTTGTTTCTGTTCTCTTACTTTAGTTAGCCTCAACCAAATGTTATGAAACTTATACACAATGCTTATTACCACAAAACACAGATCAAGTTGGAATTTTGGTGGCGACACTTTTATCGTTCTAGAGTTATGCCCCTTTACAAATGGAAAAATTGCTGAATTTTTTGTTTCCGTTCTCTTACTTTAGTTTGCCTCAACCAAATGTTATGAAACTTATACACAATGCTAATTGCCACAAAACAGAGATCAATTTGAATTTTGATGGTGTCACTTTTACTGTTCTAGAGTTATGCCCCTTTACAAATGGAAAAATTGCTGAAAAATTCGTTTCTGTTCTCTAACTTTAGTTTGCCTCAACCAAATGTTATGAAACTTATGCACAATGCTAATTACCACAAAACACAGATCAAGTTTGAATTTTGGTGGCGTCACTTTTTCCGTTCTAGAGTTATACCCCTTTACAAATGGAAAAATTGCTGAATTTTTCATTTCCGTTCTCTAACTTAAGTTTGCCTCAACTAAATGTTATGAAACTTATGGTTATTACCACAAAACTCAGATCAAGTACAAATTTGGGTAGAGTCACTTTTACAGTTATTGAGTTATGTCCCTTTATAATGTTATATGCAAGCGGGGTCATCATCTGTGTCCCATGGACACATTCCCCATTTATTTTTTTAAAATTTGACCTTTCCATGGCCACCTTTGGGCTAGTTCAACACTTTAAAATGGAATACTCTCCCTGCTTATAAAATGTCACTCAACAAGAATAAGTTGAATATTTCATAACAATCATTAAATTGATTGGACTGTATCGCTGAACACATTAAACATATAGCAGATTTATTGAGTAAACTTTGCATGCAATTTCATGTAAGACCTCTTTTAAAAGTAGGTCTGTCCTTAACTGACTTTATATGTTTTCAAATCTATTGAAATTGTCAGTGATGTATATGCTTCAGTTTACAAGGAAGATCATACGTCAGGTTAAGTGTGTGCCAAGGTTTTTATCAAAACATATTGTAATCTGTATAATTCACTTAAATTTGCAAAGATAAACATTAGAGCTAAATATAGGTCAGTATATAGTGAAAGTATGTCATTCTGATCTAGTTTTCATGGTTCACTTACTTTTAACTTATTTATCAAAATATTTTTTCTCATTTGTAAAATAATAATTTCACTTCTGAATGCATTTAGATTTGAATGTTATTGTAAAATTTCATATTTTAGGTAAATATTTTTCTTTGAGACAAGCTAATTTTTGTTCTGACACTCAAAGTTTAATGGTCGATCATATCTGATTAATGGTGTTTTGTTTTAATTTTCTTTACTAAACTTTTTTTCTAGGTCAGTATAGCTGTGATTTACGACATTTAGACGTTTCAAGTTGCAAGATATCACAGCGAGGATTAAATGCCTTGTGCTCAGATGACAGTCATCTGCCATGTCCAAAGTTACAGACTTTGAGGATAAGAGATTGTGGAGTGTGTAAACCATCAATTACCATAGATCGTGTTGCCTCATTGTTACTACAAAGAACAAAGACATTTGACCTTGACTATGACAAGATCCATATGGTGTTGTCCAGAATTCACAAACTTAACAATTCACCTAATATTATCACTCCAAATCTCCAGTATCCCAGAATTCAATGTTTAGATTTTGGAACTGAAGATATCTTCACTACTGATGTTGAGTTAATCTGTAAATATTGTCCTAATATTACAATGGCAGCATTAAATCCAGTTGCACATGATGACCAAGTCCTTCAACTTATGACTTTGAAGCATTTATGCCATTTAGAAATTGTTTCCGACACACATGACGGTGTGACCTTATCATTTGAAGGATCAGTTTCACCCTTGTTATGCAGTGTTGGCATGTATCTTCAAGTCTTGTTGCTTATAGAATTAACTGATGTATGTTTATACACAATTGGTAAATATTGTCCTCATCTGAAAAATTTGAACTTAATGGTGTCTACATTACAGGACAACAGAAGCCATTTTCCAGACAAGATGACATGTTATACAGAACTTGAACAGTTTAAATGTATCATTATCGGTGAGAATGACATGCTACCAGAAGATTCTCTGTCAGTCGTTTTGAAAAATTCAAAAGACTTGCGGTCACTTTTATTGACCAATATACAGTTTCTGACCACTGAAGAACTTGGGCGTTATATAAATCATAATGCTTTGCCAAACTTGGAAGAGCTAGAATTGACTAATTGTAATCATATTGAGGGTTCTATATTTTATCATTTTTTAACTATTTCGCAATGTTTGACGAACTTAACATTAGATGTTTGTCAGCAAGTAACAAGGGCTGACTTTTCAAAGTTGTTAAAATATTCAGAACAGCATCTACCACAACTTCAGGTACAATGGACATGATCTGAATAAAAGTTATTGTACAATTCCATCATAGAACATTTTTGTAAGTCTTATTGACCAATCAGAATCTGAAACTATCAGCTTTACCGAGAAAAAAAAACGAGACAATATACCTCCATGCTAAAATCATGCAGCCATATACAAAAACAGTGAACAAAAATTCCAAATGTGCCATTGTGGCCTTAGAACAAAGAATAAATTTGATATTTCTCTTTAGACATCAATGGATTTAGACTAGTATTGTTATACCTCACGGTGAATAACCTCGACAGATTGTACCGTCCGATGAATAACCTTATTATTATTCACTGCCGCTGAGGCAAATATTTGTTTTGTATAATAAAACAGTTACAACCCTATGAGTTGGGAGATATCCAAAATTGTCAACCATGCTAAGGGTTATTCCCCTCGGGCTATTTGACAATTTTAGATATCCCCCTCCTCAGAGGGCCGTAATTGTATATTATTATTTATCTTATCAAACATCTCTTTAATGAACAAAAAATCCATTTGTCACTTGAGAAAGGCTGAGCACAAAATTCAAAACTTGGACTGAGTGATCATTTGACATGAATGATTTAAACATTTTCAGTTTTTTGTAATTACTGGTTTACTAAAGAACAAAAGAAAACAAGAATCAACATTAAGCAAAACTAGGGTTTTTCATGTTTATTTCCTGTATAGCCAGTGATTTAAAATTGTGTTGTTTTGATTTGAAACAAACAGGAAAATTTTAATAGTCAGATAATAAGCACTTTATTCCAAACAAATTAACTAAAGTCTACTGGAATGTATAAAATCTATGAGAAAAAAATATAAATATCTTCCAGACTATATTTAAATATCTTTATTTTGCATGGCTATCATGCCATCCTTTAGAAAACTATTGTGTCAACCTACTTGTGATGCAAACTGACATTTTAACCATGATTTCGATGAATTTATAAAGTTCAGACATCACTGCTTAAATTATTTAAGTCAAGATAAATTATATTGATTGTTCAAAATTCAGAATTTCTGAAATACATGTTGAGAATCTATTTTATTAGTTTGAGAAAGAGGCTTCTCAAGTAGCACTGAGTATAATTACAAAATTCACTTCCTGTGTAAATATATTTTTGGGCAACAGTTGAGCTCAATATTATATTTCTCTGCAAGTGCATGTCTAATAGTCAATGGGTCATGTTATCAAATTTGCTGTAAAAGCAATGAAAAGGACATACTTTAATTAGTTGCAGTGTTTTATTTAAATTCATCCATTCAACATTTTATTCTGCAGATTGAAGAAAAATTGAAATTCATTTGATATAAGGGCTACTGTGGAAATAAATAATACATCTCCTTACCAGTTGAACAAAAAATGTTCTTTACATGTGTAATTCAGGTTTTTAAGAATTTTTAATTAGGTATATTTTTATGTTGTTCAGTTTTATTTACAGAAAATGTTACATAACATGTATTTATAGATTTAATTGTTAAATCTTTGTCTTTCACGTAAATATTGATTATAGGTTATTGAGTTTATTGGGATTTGAATTGATATTCTACTTTGTTACTTGTGAATAATTAGAAAAGCAATATTGAAATAGAGAAAACAAATATCTTTTGATTGAACAACATTCTTAGATTTACATCTGAACTTCACATAGCTCCACTTTTCTTGATGTGCATTCATCAGAGTTCCCCCATCAATGGGAAGATATAGATGATCTAACATTTTTTTTATCCCCCCCCCCCCCCATTATTACCACAAAACACAGATCAAGTTCGAATTTGGGTGGAGTCACTTCTCCCGTTCTTGAGATGTGCCTCTTTATAACTTTATATGTAAGGGGGGCATCATCTGTGTCCCATGGACACATTCTCCATTTATTAGTCCCCTTCCGACGAAGTCGAAGGGGACTTTTAGGTTTGCACTCCATCCGTCTGTCTGTCTGTCTGTCTGTCTGTCTGTCTGTCTGTCTGTCTGTCTGTCTGTCTGTCTGTCTGTCTGTCTGTCTGTCTGTCTGTCTGTCTGTCTGTCTGTCTGTCTGCTGTCTGTCTGTCTGTCTGTCTGTCTAGCCGTCAGTCCGGCAAATCAGTTTTCCACACTTTTTTTTTCGTGCTTGAAGTATATAGTTTTATCATGACAAGTTACAGATCAAGTTCCAATATTGATTCGGTCTGATGATTTTGTACAGAGTTATGGTCCTTGGACTTAGAAAATTCACTTAAATAACCATTTTTCCAACACTTTGTTAGCTCACTGGGGCCCGAAAGAGCCCCATGTGAGCTTATGCCATCACTTAGCGTCTGTCGTCGTCATCGTCTGTCGTCGTCGTCTGTTGTCGTCGTAAACTATTTAAAAAATCTTCTCCTCTGAAACTACTGGGCCAAATACCTTCAAACTTTAATTAAATGTTCCTTAGGGTATCTAGTTTATAAATTGTATCCGAAGTTTTGATCAATCGACAAACATGGCCGCCATGGCTAAAAATAGAACATAGGGGTCAAATGCAGTTTTTTGCTTATATCTCAAAAACTCAAGCTTTTAGAGCAAATCTGACACGGGGGTAAAATTGTTCAATTGGTCAAGATCTATCAGCCCTGAAATTTTCAGACAAATCGAACAACTCATTGTTGGGTTGCTGCCACTAAATTGGTAGTTTTAAGGAAATTTTGCAGTTTTTTGTTATTATCTTGAATATTATTATAAATAGATATAAACTGTAAACAGCAATAATGTTCAGCAAAGTAAGATCTACAAAAAAGTTGATATGACCAAAATTGTCAATTGGCCCCTTAAGGAGTTATTGTCTTTAAAAGACAATTTTACACGATTTGTTCATCAAGTTTGCTAACATTTAAAAATCTTCTCCTCTGACACTACTGGGTCAAATACCTTTAAACTTCATCTAAATGTTCCTTAGGATATCTAGTTTATAAATTGTATCCGAAGTTTTAATCCATCGACAAACATGGCCGCCATGGCTAAAAATAGAACATAGGGTCAAATGCAGTTTTTTGCTTATATCTCAAAAACTCAAGCTTTTAGAGCAAACTGACATGGGTAAAATTGTTCAATTGGTCAAGATCTATCAGCCCTGAAATTTTCAGACAAATAGAACAACACATTGTTGGGTTGCTGCCACTAAATTGGTAGTTTTGAGGAAATTTTGCAGTTTTTGGTTATTATCTTGAATATTATTATAGATAGATATAAACTGTATACAGCAATAATGTTCAGCAAAGTAAGATCTACAGAAAAATTAAATGACCAAATTTGTCAATTGACCCCTTAAGGAGTTATTGCCCTTTAAAGAATTTTACGAAATGTGTTCATCAAGTTTGCTAACATTTAAAAATCTTCTCTTCTGAAACTATTGTGCCTAATACTTCTTAACTTTGAATGAATGTTCCTTTAGGAATCTAGTTTATGAATTGTATCCGAAATTTTGATCCATCAACAAACATGGCCGCCATGGCTAAAAATAGAACATAGGGGTGAAATGCAGTTTTTGGCTTATATCTCAGAAACTAAAGCATTTAGAGCAAATCTGACATGGGGTTAAAATGTTCAAAAGGTCAAGATCTATCAGCCCTGAAATTTTCAGACACACCGAACATCCCAATGTTGGGTTGCTGCCACTAAATTGGTTGTTTTAAGGAAATTTTGCAGTTTTTGGTTATTATCTTGAATATTATTGAAGATAAAGATAAACTGTAAACAGCAAAAATGTTCAGCAAAGTAAGATCTACAAAAAAGTTTATATGACCAAAATTGTCAATTAACCCCTTAAGGAGTTATTGCCCTTTAAGGACAATTTTACACAAGTTGTTTTATGTTTTTTTAACTTTAAAAATCTTCTCAAATGAATCTAGTATAAATTTTGTATTTCATTTCCTTGTACGTCACTATGGCTAAAATGGAACATATGGGTAAAAAGCAAAAATAATCATTGATGAAAGATTTAAGCAAAAAAATTAACAGGTGAGCGATTCAGGCTCTTGAGAGCCTCTTGTTTCGTCATGCTTGAAGATATTGACTTGACATTTGTTATAAAGTTTACACCATGACAAGTTATAGATCAAGTGAGCATTTTTTTCCAGTACAATGAATTTTTAACCTGTAGGGGACTATGTATTGCCATGCAATACTCTCAGAATGCTTGTTTTTATTATTATACCATCTGCAAACAAAATTTTTGGGGAGTATATAGGAATAACCCTATCAATCTTGTCTCTATGTCTATCCATGTGCCTTGTAAGATATAATTGATTGTAAATTTTACACAGCTGTAGTTCACTACCCCTGGTTCAACATGTTCAAGGGGAGATAATCAAATTTACTTCCTTTAATAATGCAGTATGTGGTAATAACTTGTAAGCGTAAATACAACTTATCAGTTACACCAAGACAGATATTGATGAAACTTCATACAGTTGCTCAACACTACCTTAGGATTTTCATAAAGGAATATAATCCCAGTCCTGTTCAAGGGGAGATAATGGAACTGACTTACTTCAATATTACAATATGAGTAATAGTCTCTCCTATGCTAGTGCATTGCAAACTTTTAAGACTTCTTGACCTTGATAAGTGGTTTTTATGTTTTAATGATGATCAAAACAATTCCTTTTTATTATGTATTTGATATTTAAATTTGTGAAATGATATTTCATTAAACTCTTTATGAACAAGAGAAGCCTTGAAAAAAAGATCTTAGACCTTTACCCAAATTGAAAATAAATTTGTGATAACCTGACTTACTGATAAGTGTTTTATGTACAAATGTTATATACTTATATGTTAATCAGTATGATGGTAAGTGGTGCATATAAAATAAATGCAAAAGGAACAAAGGAAGATGACAAGGTACTGTAATGTGTATTCAATAATGCTGTGCATATTTTAATTCTTTTCCTTATCTTTTTATAGTGGATCAGTAAAATTGTAATTCAATAATAATTGTGATATATTTATATATGAATTTTAAAAAGATGTAGTATATATATATGTATAACCTATTTATAGAATACAGATTTCAAAAGAAGTGTTGCCTATTCTGTATATTAATATATATAATTGTGTTTGTAAGTTTAAAATTTTGATTCCATCTTTCTTTATTTAAGATAGCAGGCACTGATCCAGCCAGTTTGAAAAGGGTGGTTCCAAGTTGAACTTCCAACCTCCAGAACACCATGAAATGTCCACATGATTAAAAAAATATAGAAAAATTTTGGGGGGGGGTGTTCATCCCCCTTAATATACCCACTGGATCTGTCAATGGATAGCACTTCAATCTAATTAAGAAAAATTGATATTAGTGGGTGACATTTCATCCTGAAAATGAATCAAAAATAGGCTGCTAGGCACCAAATATCCATTTATTTATTTATAAGATTTCATTTGTCACCAGTTGAATCACATATTTGTCAAATTTGCTTGAATGATAACAATATTTGAAAAGGGTGTGTTTGAAACACCCGAATATTCTTTCTTGATAGTGGTTTGCTGCTTAAAAGGAAGCTATTGAACAAAGGGTTCTATATGGTAAAGTTAAGTCCTCTTTTTAAAATTTTATCGATCACCATCGTGATATGCTTGACTGTTATTGAATATCTGTGTCACAGATAACCATGGATATGTTCATCTTGTCAAAGCCACAATCCTGTCCTCTTAACCTGATTGTGACATCACTGTATGCTACTTATCACTAAATTCCTTGCAATGAGTAACATGACAGGTGCCACCAGTGGTGCAGGAACTGCTAACCCTTCCAGTACACCTGAGTTCACCCCTGGTTGTCGAGCCTGCGACTTTTGTCGCAGAAAGCTCGACATAGGGATAGTGATCCGGCGGCGGCGTTAGCTCACTTCTTAAAAGCATTATATTTTAGAAGGTGGAAGACCTGGATGCTTCATACTTTGTATATGGATGCCTCATGTTACAAAGTTTCCGTCAGTCTTGACCTCATTTTCATGGTTCAGTGACTACTTGAAAAAAAAGTTAAGATTTTTTGTAATGTTAAATTCTCTCTTATTATAAGTAATAGGATAACTATATTTGGTATGTGCATACCTTGCAAGGTCCTCATGCCTGTCAAACAGTTTTCACTTGACCTCGACCTCATTTCATGGATCAGTGAACAAGGTTAAGTTTTGGTGGTCAAGTCCATATCTCAGATACTATAAGCAATAGGTCTAGTATATTCGGTGTATGGAAGGACTGTAAGGTGTACATGTCCAACTGGCAGGTGTCATCTGACCTTGACCTCATTTTCATGGTTCAGTGGTTATAGTTAAGTTTTTGTGTTTTGGTCTGTTTTTCTTATACTGTTTGCAATAGGTCTACTATATTTGGTGTATGGAATGATTGTAAGGTGTACATGTCTAGCTGGCAGGTGTCACCTGACCATGACCTCATTTTCATGGTTCAGTGGTTATAGTTTAGTTTTTGTGTTTTGGTCCATTTTTCTTATACTTCATGCAATAGATCTTCTATATTTGGTGTATGGAATGATTGTAAGGTGTACATGTCCAACTGGCAGGTGTCATCTGACTTTGACCTCATTTTCATGGTTCAGTGGTCAAAGTTAAGTTTTTGAGTTTTGGTCTTTTTTCTTATACTATATGCAATAAGTCAACTATATTTGGTGTATGGAAATATTCTATGATGTACACGTCAGTCTCGCAGGTTTTATTTGACCTTGACCTCATTTTCACGGTTCATTGCTCAGTGTTAAGTTTATGTGTTTCAGTCTGTTTTTCTTAAACTATAAGCAATAGGTCAGCTATACTTGTTGTATGGAAGGATTGTAAGCTGTTCATGTCTGCCTGGCATGGTTCATCTGACCTTGACCTCATTTTCACGATTCATTGGTCAATGTTTAGTTTTCATGGTTAAGTCTGTTTCTTAGAAACTATAAGCAATAGGTCAACTATATTTAGTGTATTGAATGATTGTAAGGTGTACGTGTATTTCTCGTTTGGTTTATATGACCTTGACTTCATTTTCTTGGATCATGTTAAGTTTATGTAATAGTTGTAGTAAAGCTTTCATTTAGGACTATCAACATAACATCAATGGTTAGTAAAGAAGGCGAGACATTTCAGCATGTGCACTCTTGTTTTTATTGAGGTTCATCTTTTTTAATCTTTAGTTTTCTATGTAGTGCTTCAGTTGTCTGTCTTTGATTATGGCATTGCCCCTTGGTATCTTTTCCTTTTTATACTTTCCTATCAACAGTTATAAACTAGCAAAACAAAAATCAATATAAGACAATAGTAGTTATTTAAAAAAAATCATCAAGGGCAATAACTCCTATTTGTAGTCATTTGTTTCTTCAGCCATTTAGCTTTCTGGTACTGGTAATATTGTATTGCTTATCATTTTTGCTGTTTACAGTTTCTGTTTATTCATAATATTTTTCAAGATAATAGAAACACTAAAATTGAAATAAAAATAATTTTAAGGGCCATAACTCAATAAGTCAGTATATACTGTAAATTGATTAAATTTACTAAAATTTTCTAAATGATTTATTTTTCATGAACATACAATATCTGCACCAAGCTGCAAATATAATCAATATTGTAAAAGGAGAAATGTAAATGATTTACACTATAAATAATATAAGGACAATAATAATTAAAGATATGTCTGCTTCATGTTGAATAAGGTTACAGAGACAGATACTCCAACTTTTTTCTAAAACAAAAGATTAATTCAAGATTAAATAAAAATAAGTCATCATTAATATTCAAAATAACTGATATGAGACATACTATGCAGTCATCTATAATTCTTAGTAATTTTAAATGTCTTTGAAATGTACTCAATAAGATGGGATCCATCACAAAATCACCATTTCTTACACATTCACAAAATGAAGATTATCAAATATTATAACATTTCAGAACAAAGCAATGATTTGTGTACAAAATGTTGGGGGAGTGATTGGTTTCTAAAAAAAAGAGACTCACAGCGTGTTCCACATTAAAAATAAATGTGGATTGTGTCCACATGTGGACACAGATGATGTCCCCGCTTGCATATCATATAGTTATAAAGGGACATAACTGAAGAACGATAAAAGTGATGCTACCCAAATTCAAACTTGATCTGTATTAAGTGGAAATAAGCATTGTGTATAAGTTTCATAACATTTGATTGAGGCAAACTTAAGTTACAGAACCGAAACTAAAAATTTTGCAATTTTTCCATTATAAAGGGGCATAACTCTAGAACCATTTAAGTGATGCCACCAAAATTCAAACTTGATCTGTGTTTTGTGGTAATAAGCATTATGTATTAAGTTTCATAACATTTGGTTGAGGCAAACTTAAGTTAGAGAACGGAAACTAAAAATTTAGCAATTTTTCCATTATAAAGGGGCATAACTCTAGAACCATTTAAGTGATGCCACCAAAATTCAAACTTGATCTGCAATTTGTGGTAATAAGCATTTGGTATAAGTTTCACAATGTTTGGCTGAAGCAAACTAAAGTTAGAGAACGGAAACCAACTTTGGGAGTACATACTGACGGACGTACAAACAGATGTACGTACGTACGTACAGAGGGACAAGGGTAAAACTTAATGCCCCCTCTGCTACGGCGGGGGCATAAAAAATATTGAGAATTATGGATGGCCTTGTTAGCATTTGAAACCATCTGTATAAATTTATAGTTTTACACCACACTGCATTATCAAAATATAGTTACAATGCATCATACAAAACAGTTATAATGCATCATACAATATAAGAGCATTTAAAATATTTTGGTTAATATTACCATGGAAGTATTATATTGACAGGAACTCCAACAAGCGGACTTCAAACGTTTATAGTGCGATGCCGCAAAATCGTTAAGTATCTGTTAATTAACTCGACTGTCTTATGGATGCATGGGTTCCGATAAAATTTTTGGAACCTCGTGAATGATCGTAATTTCGGAACATACCGAAATAACCGGATGTGTACTTAATTGTCAAGGAAATGACATTTACCGACCATGTGAATGACAAATATAATGTCAGTTTTTACGGGTTTTGCTGCTTAAAAACAAATAAAAAGAAAAGAAACGAAACGAAATCCCCGCCCCATTAAAAAGACAAAAAAAAAAAAAAACTGAAGAGTAAAAATACTCACAAGCCATAAACATTTCAGTTTAAGTTACAATCAATTTTAAAATAGTAAGATTTATTCATGAGAGTGCCGTTGGCTAAACACACGTAACTGTTATATACAAGTTAGGCTTGAAAATCATAAAATTCTCATATAAAGTAAACGGAAAAGTTTTTATCAGTAATTATTATCGCGTTTTACTGCTAACTTTGACAAATATTTTACTGAAGTGTTTAATGAAAGAATTTCCAACAAAAATTTAATCCAAAAGTTGGCCGGGGGGGGGGGGGGGGGGACGGGGTTAAAGAGCTTTGATCCTAAAAAATATCAAATATTTTGATTTATTGTTTACTGAAAGTCCAATGGCAAATATTTCATGCAATTAAACAAGAAACAAAATCATAAATTGCTTAGCACACGGTGTAAGATGTTTCAGAACTGTTAAGCTTTTAAACACATAAATAAATTCTAATTTGGTTTCCATGATAAAAAAAAAAAAAACTGCTTAGGGCCCATCATGGTGATCTTCTTTAAATGCACCCAGAAATATTTAAAGCCATCCGTAAAAATAAATCTGTCAGACGTCAGAGTATTTCGGACTAGGTTGAATGTTTAAGGTTGTTTACAACTTTGGAATTATTATAAAAGGTGTAACAATTCATCTGCATGTCTCGTAACCTGATATTGCTATGTAGAGGTCATCACATGCGTGTAATTATTAACCTCTTTTAGTCTTTAAAACATATTTGATAAATAAGTTAATAACATTTTACGATATTTTACGATAGAGAAAACCATAAATATTTGTGTTACACTCGATAAAAGTTTACAATCTTTAACTTAAAATTTGAGTTATCCGGCACCATCCGGCACACTACACGCGCATCACATTATTTTTTGCAAACACTCTACTTCAGAATCAT